CTCTGAGTCTAAACTGATTTCCTCTGATCCTTTGAATTATGAGGCTTTTAAGGATGTATGGAGAACAAACTACAGGACTGTTCTGATAACTATTCATTTTTTCCATAGAGAAATCCGCTCAGGGTTTCTAATATAGGCATGATGCCGACAACAGAATGATGCCTGACTTCAGAGGTCTATATATACAGGCCTATTCAATCAAATAATTCAGGTGCCTCTTATTAATAATGTTTGCTAGTCAGCTAGCCAGCAGTCTGTGCTGAAACCAAAAGAAAAAGTATGAAAATTTGCTTTGACCAAGAAAAATACATATTAACAAAAAATGGTTTTATAGTGTTACATGTATGGTATGTATTTTCAGTATATGATATTGAATAAATACCTATGTAATAGATCAATGAAATGAGCATGCTACTGTTAACTTAGCTGCTAGATCTCAAAAATCTAGAATTCATTATTTACATAAGATTCAGAATTTTAGGGGAATTGTAATTTTCTTTTTATTGGGAAGTCTTTTGAAAAGAAAAAAGGGTTACAAAATTCACATTGTATCAGAGTTGATTGTGTCAGTACATTAATTAGCACACCAATTATGACTATGTGACTGCTTTGGTATTACATTATGCTCTATATGCTGTGGCTTCATTTTAGATACTTGTGTGTGTACATGCAGTGCACCCTTTTCTTTTTATATAAAATTTACAATATCTTCATAAATAAATGGAAACATACCAACTTTTTGTCACTAGAATATTTTCATGGATGTCTAAAGTTATTGAACAAAAGACAATGTCTTTTCAACTTGTAGGAAGTGATTTTAATGAAAAGAAACAACGCTATGGCATGGGCAGTATTAATGGCACCCTTTCCTAATATTTTCTTGCATGCCTTTTAGTCCAAATAACTCCAAATATTGTTGGTAGCCATGTACAACCTTCTTGCACCTTCTTGCTCTTAGATGGTTGCAAGGTGTCTCTTCCATATAACAGATTTCAGCTGTCTCCAAAGAGTTTCCCTGGGTTTGAGATCAAGACTCATTGCTGGCCAGTTTAAAAAAGTCCACTTCTTCTTTTGCAACCATTGTGCTTTTTGATGTGTGCTCTGGGTCGTTATGATGCTGGGGGACCCAAACCTAGCTTTCTTACACTAGGTAACACATTTTGCTCTAAAATACCTTGGTAATCTTCTGATTTCATTATTCCTTCAATTTGGTTGAGGCCTCCAGTACCTGAGGCAGCAAACAACAACCCAAACATTATGGATCCGCCACCATGTTTAACTGTAGGTAGGGTGTCCTTTCGTTTTTAAGCTTTATTTGAAATCATATAAACATATTGCCGATCTGCATTTCCAAAGAGCCCTGTTTCTGTTTCGTCAGTCCACAAAACATTTGCCCAAAAGGACTGCGATTTGTCTAGGTACATATTGGCAAAGATCAGTCGTGCCTTCTTATGTCTTTCTTTCAGCATTGGAGTCTTCCTTGGCCTTCACCCATGAGGACCTTCTTGGTTTAGTGTGTGGTGTTCCACAGTTCACACCAACCTTCGAAGACTTTTCTCACTGATTTGTGACTTTTCTCACTGAATTTCCTCCAGGTGCTCTGGTTTCCTCCCACAGTCCAAAGACATGCAGTCAGGCCAACTGGAGATGCTAGATTGCCCGTAGTTGTGAATGTGTATTTTGTCTGTCTGCCCTGTCGGCCCATCCAGGGTATTTCCTATCTTCTGCTCAATGACTGCTGGGCAGACCCCCACCCCAACCATCCAGGAGGATAAGCAGCTTAGATGATGAGATGAGATGAAAACAAGGAAGAAAAGGAGGAGGTGGGGGAAATCCCATTACAAACTGAATACAAATCTGAATGAATATTTTTATTTTTTATATTTTTCGTATTCTTATTTGCATTACAAATGGGGAAGATTACTCTTACATAGAAAGAAGAAAAGGGAAAATGAAATCTCATCACTGGGGTCTTTAGCCATTTCGACCAAACCTAAATTGGTCAATCTGAATTAATGAATAAGTTGGCTTTTACATAATAAACATTTCATGTACAATGTCATACTAAATGTGCAACTGAGGGGGCTCAGTAGACAGCCATCTTCTAGTGATTGCTTTCTTACTTACAGCTAGCAAGGCCTTTAACAAATTATTTTCATTTTGACTCGTCTAAGGAGAGATTTCTGAGGTAAAGAAACCCAAAATCAAAGGGTATATTCATCTGAAATAAAGTACAGAGAGCCTGAAGGATAGCCTTCCAACACCCAGACAGAACAGAGCATTCCCAAAAGATGTGGAAATGATTTGCATTGGCTGAGCCACACAGTACCTGATTCAACAGTTGACCAAATGATTTTAAGGGGCCCTCTCTCTAAAGCTTGTGGGTTTACTTGTCTAAATGATTCACTAAAACAGTATCATGTTTAAAGATCCTTCTGTTCCAATCTATATTTTTTAATATTGGAATGATGTAAAAAAAGTAATATATGTTGTAAGACCCGTCCTTGCCCATATTTTAAATCCCTTACCTTCCTTATTTGGGGGGGAATTCATTACCATAAGCACACCACTTCAGTAGTCAGAATCACGTATCCCACTTACAATAGTGAACTTTTACCAGATTTTCGTCGTTAGATTGATCCAGGGATTCTTCTTGGTCAAAAGCTGTATCATTAACTTTCTCTCAGGCATTATAGCTTGCAATGGAAAGCGTATTGCCAATGCATTTTCAGTTTCCTTCCAAGTTGCTGTATAGTGCTTATTGCTCCAACATAGTAAAGGCCTTAACTGAGAAGCGTAAAAATAATCACAGAGGCAGGGTAGGGGGATTCCTCCTTTTTCTATTCCCTCCTGTAATGTGGTATACCAAATTCTAGCTTTCCTCCCCTGCCAAATAAAACAGGAAATCCATTTGTCCTGGAATGTGTACTGATGGGGTTTGAAAAAAGTAATTGAGGTAATATATTAATTTTGATGCAATTTTGATATCATTAGCAAACATCATCAGCAAATAATGCATGTTTTTGTTCAATACCAAATACTTCAGTTCGTTTAATATCTCGATTCTTTCCTATTGCTTGACTTAAAGGTAAATAACTAAAGAGAACAACTAGGGAGAAACTGGACACTCTTGTCTAGTCACAGTACAAAAGTACTGTCACTATCCTCCTGAGTCGCAGGGGGTGCTGATGCCGGTCCCAGCGGTCACTGGGGGAAGGCAGGAAACACCCTGATGGAGGGAAGCAATAATTTCAGTGCAATATCAGTGGTTAACAAGCATCTAGCTCTGCTCCAGTACAGCCAAAGTTTAGAGTTACTTCCTCTTAAAACATGCCCCACGCCAAAAAGTCATTCCCAACATCCCGCCCACAACAATTAATTAACAGGAAGCCTTGTTGAGCGTGACAGTGCAATTGCAAAAGGGTGATTGTCATTCCTTTTTTTGTCAGAGTCACACCATTAAGACAATGAAAATTAAATGTCAAAAAGACTTTCCCATATTAACTTCAGTGGCCATTATACACAGCTATGCTAATGCAATTACACATTTTGCATTTGAATTATGTTTTAAATAAGGCACTCTCACACTGAAAATGCAATTGTATTAATTGTATTAAATGCAGCTGTATTGTAAACACAATTAAATTGGCAATTTCAAATTTACATTTGAATTTGGATAAAGTACGGAATATGCTGCCATAATTTAACCAGAAAAAATAGTTTAGTTAGGACTGTAGTTAGGAGTATTGCCAACCACTTTTATTTGATCAAAATATTTATTTATTTTTGTTTTTTATTGTGTTGATTATTATGTTGTAGAACTGAACATTGCACTGTAATTTTTCAACCAAGTCTTTCATGCAGGAATTCTTTTACAACATTGCAATTCAGCCGATCCAGAGACATGCAGAGCACAGGGAAGAAGAAACCTTGGAACCCTTCTCTTTACCTTTTTTGTTTACCTCAGCGATTTTCAAAAATCCCATTCCCATCCAGCTTAGACACAGTTCCTAATAAGGACATCATGTTGACTACCAGTACAATATGACTTAAGTGGTCTATAACTGGATTTCAACACCTATTCTGTGATGAGAAAACTGGTGCATTTGTCTGTAAAAGGATTGACCATATTCAAATTACTTTTTTGTGCAAAAGCTCTATTGGAAGGAACGCCATCTAGCATCTGACCAAGACATTATTGAGTGGCAGTTCCCTGATGAAATTCTTTGATTTTACTTTAGAAGTAGGTAGTTAGTTAAGAGAACACCAATGCATCATTCATTGAATGTTAGTTGTAGCCCTAACACAGAAATGGCAAGTTTGGTCCTCTCTAAACATTTTGTTTATTTATTTCCACACCACATGTGAATCATCTGCATACTGAATAAAAATCGTTTATTAATATGTTACATTTTCAAAAATAACACAGGAAATAGTGCAAAATTATGCCAAATTATTCTGATGCTTACATCATTTTAAACATGTAAACACAAACACATATCATGTGGTTGATTCTAGGCAGTGATTAACAATGACTTTTATCAGACTCTTTTTGTCCACTACAACCGACATTTCATATTATTACAATATAAAACATATTGATATCAATTCCAGATATCAATTACTGTACAATAAAGTGCTCTTCTGAGTCAGATACATACAAGAACCCTTACATATTGTATCTGTTATTCATCATTTCACCAAGTAATTTGGTCCAAGGAAAGCTCTCACAAAATGCAACTGATAAGCTTGAAGATCAATAATAAAGAATATTAAATAGTCGTCTATGTAGGATGTTAGAATGTAATTCTTTATAATGAAATTTTTTGCTTTAAAATGGGATTTTGCAAAATTTTGCATAATTAAATGATTAAGATGTAACCAATTCAATTAGAGTGATGTGAAATGCTCCATTCTAGAGAAACGTACAGAATTGTTTACAGTGGTAAAGATGGGAACCAGACATCAAGAAAATTCCCTCACAGAAAATGATTACATGAGATGGATATGAATATGTTGCCTGATGCCTGAGATATTGTTTTTATGATAAATTTTGACCTAAAACATACTTTGAAATACATTCATGGTGGAGAGGTACACATGGCAGCCCCAAGTTCCTATTAGCACCACTGCAGGAAACTACTCAGAATTACTGTTTACATCTCAACCACTGAATTATGCAGAAATTGTGAAAAATCGGTGGAATTCCCATGAAAGAATCCAAACCAATAATTTTTATAAACAGGTTAAAACACCAGGTAATGTATTCTGAATGAGTTGGATTCATTACACAAATCATCTAAACACCAATTATACTTTTATCTCTGCATCCACCAAGACATCTCTTGGCAGTGGAGCCGTTTTGGTGAAACTACCCAGTCCAGTTTCTGAGACCACAGGAGAAGCATTAGGTGTCCTCAAAGTCAGAAGTGAAAGAGAAGGAGAAAAGCTGGGGGTCATGGCTGAAGGAGTTAGTCCTGTGTTCCTTGCCAAAGGTGAGTATGCGTACTTGGGGTATGAGGGCTTTCTTACCAGGGATGCCATCCTCTGAGGCATCCTAGGGGGTACTGCACGAATTCCTGGCTGGGCCACTCCTGTGATAAGTGGAGGTGGGTGCAGAAGACTGTGAAACTCCGAACCTACAGGTCTTTCACTTGCTTCCTCATCAGGGAGCATGCTGATGTCAGTAAAGACAGACGCCAGGGGTTGAAAGCGAGGTTCCCAATTGAGAAGGTGGTCCCAGCCATAGCTGCCACGCAGTTGCTCCTCTGGGCAAATCAGATTGGTGAGGGATCCCTCAATGGAATCCTGGTGGTCTGGCAAGGGCATACAGCCTCTCAGCACCTCCTCCATCTCCCTCATGTTGACCACCCGAGGCAACATCCCTTCACCGCCTCCTTCTTCCTTGAAGTTATGGAGACTCTCAGCACTTGCCATTCCCACCAAATGGCCTGTGCCCATATTTGCACCAGTAACTGAATGGCAGGAGAGCTGATCTGAATCAATGGGGATTCCCGAGTCTGGTTCAGGCATGACAGATTCAGGCTGCATGATACGTTGGTATTCATTGATCATCTTAATCTCTTGGTCCTCAGCAGTCTCACCTTCTGCCGAGCCCCGTCCACTTGAGCCTGAGTTCCTCAAGGGGTTGGAGATGTCCCTCTTTGCTCTCATGTCTAAAGGTGCATGCAAGTCTTGGAGATTTATGGCATTGATACCATTTTGACAGTTGCCCAATCTTCCAAAAGTTCCGGTCCCATGGTTAAGATTAGCAGCTAATGAGGCAGCCTTCTTAATAGCATTCTCCTTGGTCTTGTACCTCAACACTAGAGCAACAAAACTAATCAAAAGCAGAAGAAACACTGTCAAGGAAACACTAAGGCTGACAGTCTGGGCACTGAGAGCACTACCTGTCAGTGCCTCTGCCGAATTGGATATGTTCACAATGACACGACAGGCCGTCGATCTGGAGTCAAGCTTTGGACTGCTTGCCAGAACTGTCAAGTCTTCAACTTCCTCACTTGAGATGCTACCTCTTCGTCGGTACACTGGATTTGAAATATAGACACTCCCAGTACTTTTGTTGACATTGAAAAATGGTGACGGGTTAGCTAAAGAATACTCCACAATGCCATCCAGACCTCCGTCATGGTCCATGGCCATCACGTGGCCAACACTTTGGCCTACTCTGGCATTGTCTGGCAAAGTGAAATGGTACACCTTCTGGGTAAAGATAGGGCTGAACTCATCCATGCCTTCAATATCAACCTGAACCCTCACCATAGCTGACTGATCTCCTTTGTCCCGGGCCTCTACGAGAAAACAGTATTCACTGTCTCTCTCATAGTCAAATGTCTGTCTAGTATGGATGTCTCCAGTGAGAGGGTCAATGGCAAAGGCCTCTTTTCTGTCTGGGTTGCCACTGCCATAGTCCATAAAACAAGAGGTCAGGATTGAGTAGGTTAGCAGGCCAAACCGTCCTGCATCCTGATCAACAGCATGGACCATGCACACTGGGGTAAACACTGGCAGATTTTCTGCCACTGAACACTTGATGGTAGAGAACATGAAGAAGGGAGAATTATCATTCTCATCAAGCACTGTGATGAAGATCACAGCGAAGGATACCTTCCTGTTGCCTGGACCACCACAATCTGATGCTCGAACAGTCAAGATGTGTTTTGTATCTTCTTCGTAATCCAGAGTGCCGTTGACTTCCAGAGAACCTGTTTGAGAATCCAGCCTAAAGAGACCCTTTCTGTTACCAGAGATGATATCATACCTTACTGTGCCATTTGGCCCAAGGTCGAGATCTTGAGCAGACAGCTGAACCAGGGAAGTACCAAGTAGGCTGTTCTCACTGACTTGTGCATAGTACTCCGAGCTGTTGAAAACAGGTTCATGGTCATTGACGTCAAGTACAGTGACCGATACTATTGTCGAGCTGTTGAGTGGAGGAACACCTCTGTCCATGACAGTAATGGTCAATAAGTACGTCTCTGTGGTCTCTCTGTCCAGGGTGTCACAGAGCACTACATGACCCACAGTCCTTTGTTGGGCCTCTGTCCGCACAGTGATGACTTCAAGGCAAAATCGCCTCTCCTCATTGCCCCCAGTGATGGCATAATCAAGGTGGGTGTTTTTGTCTGAGTAGTCCTGGTCTTCAGCCAGCAGGATAAGGAGCACACTCCCAACAGGTGCATCCTCACTAACGCTCAGCTGGTAGGTGTTGTGTTGGAAGAAAGGTGCGTGGTCATTGGAGTCTGCCACTTGTATATCCACAGATGTGATACAAGACAAGGTAGGGTCACCACTGTCCTGAGCTTCCACCAGAAGCCGGATCATGTTGCCACTAGTGACGTATTTCAGAGGTTTGCTGGTGTATATAGAACCTGGACACAGAGAAGAACCAGAATTCTATTTATACAAATTGTTGTTGTTTTTTAATAAATACGTTGCTGTCTCATAATAAATAATGTAGTAACAATATTTGCAACAAATATGCATATGTAGCATTTACATATACCAGAGATGTTCACAAGTCAAGTCTCTGAGGTATGAGTCTGTGTTGAGGCTCAAGTCTCTGGGGTGCGAGTCAGGATTGAGTCTCGAGTCTCTGGGGTGTCTAAGTTGAGTCTTTAGTCTTTGGGATGCCAGTCCACCTCAAGTCTTAAGTCTCCGGGGTGCAAGACTAAGTCTCAACTCTGTGGAATGCAGGCGTGAGTCAAGTCTTGAGTCTCTGGGATGTAAGTCTGAGTCAAGTCTTGAGTTTTTGGGGTAAGAGTCCAAGTCGAGAGTTGAGTCACTGAGATGTGAGTCCAAGTAAAGTCTTGAGTCTCTTAACTGTGAGTCTTGAGTCGAGTCTCCAAGTCTCTGCAATGCGAGTCGTGTCTCAGTTCTGGTTTAGTCTGGATATTAGCTATAAACATTGCAATTTATGAAAGTAAACAACTGGTTTGACACGTCTTCAAATAACAAGCCTTTCCTTTAAGAAAAACCTTCAGTCTGAAGGACAGCGCTGAAACACTTCATGCAGTAAATGCAGTGTTTAAGGGAAAGAGGCAAAACAACTTGAAGTGGTTGGTCTGTAGTTTGTATCACAAGTATGATAGCATAATAGCTAATCTGGCTGAAGTTTTAGTAAATTCTGAGGGAACGTGAAACAAAAGCTTTTATTCATTTACATCATTAGAGTTAGTGATCCTAATTTAATCAGTTTTGTTCTTTTTTGTACTTAAATTCATAAGTTGTACGTCCTAAATCTCATTCAACCACAGTTTTCAATTTTCCATTCTGCTGCACAAATAAATACTAAATCTTGACTTTTTTAATGAATGCACACATAATTGAAATACTGAACAAGAAAATGAAGGGGTCCCATGTTTTATGACTATCATTATGCAATTTCGTTGAAAGTTACTTTATTTGACCTTATAAGCTAAAATGAAAGTGTGAAAGTTTTTATAAGTATTACCATTTTCTGCATCAATATAGAAGCCCTTCATTGGGGAAGAGAGCAGCCTGTATGAAATCTTGCTATTTAGACCAGAGTCTCTGTCGGTTGCAGTCACAGCCACAACAAATGAATCTGCAGGTGTCAGCTCAGGCAACACTACCTATAAGAAAGTTGTGGGGAAAAAATGATGAAGGTGAGAAAATACTGAACTGGATAATTTCTAGTTACATTAATTTTTACATTTCACAATACACATATAAAAGAAAACTTTACCCTTTTTAAATCACCACAAACAGTACATATAAAGTGCCAAACCTGGTAAAACTCTTGAGAGAACACTGGTGCATTGTCATTCACATCAAGTACTTGAACGGTAACCTCTGCCTCTGTCTGATGTACAGAGTCTGATGCTACTATTCTCAGCGTATGCAGGACTTGCTCCTCATAGTCCAGAATCTTTGTTGAGGTAATGACCCCAGAGTAGCGGTCAATGGCAAAGCTCCCATTTTCTTCTCCTTTTCCTGCTAAGCTGTAGGTTATTATAGAATTGAGGTCCACATCATTGGCCATAACTTGGGTGACAATGTGACCAGCTGGAAGATCTGAATGTTCAATGAAAAGAGAAGAATTCTTATGAAATACATAACATAAAATATTAAGCTTATAATAGCTGTGACCATTTACATTGTGTGAATCTTTCATAACAAATAATCAAACAGATTGTTGAAGCACATCTTTCAAGTTACAGTAACAGATGTTAAGTTAGGAATGGTTAAGCTATAGGATTTGCTAATGATGTGGAATTAAGATATGGAATCTGCCATTCAAAACAAATAACAAGCCCATTTTATCCTAAATGATTACAATATGATGCTAATATTCTATAGCTTTAATCTATGTATAGGAAGCTATGAAAATGTAGAATATTTTGATGCTAAAAGGGAGCTGTAGATGATTCCATAATAACAGAGAAAACTGTAGAGCTTTGAAAATGAACTTAGATTAAAATTAATATCCAGAATTCTTCACTTGGATCAAATCTTGCTGATCAAATTGCTATTCTTTGTATTTATAACAAGAAATGACTATAAATAGATAATTACAGTGTATTACTTAATAACATTTGCTATTTTGTACCATTTCACATTCTTGTTGTTTATGTTTTGGGGTGTAGTTTATAACCTTTTAATCTACACTATTAGTTATTACAAGTTATGACAAACGATTCCAAACTTTTGAATGGTACTTTGCATTTATACAGTAACAGCTCACTGTCCTACATTCAATAAAAACGTTGTTTGATAAATATATGAAGCTTGTGCTAAAGTATGTCTTACTCTCTGTAACCAGTAGGGGCTCCACTGGTGGTATTGCTGGGCTGTTATCGTTGACATCCACAACCTGCACCCGAACAGTGCAGGTCCCTGTAAGAGGAGGGCTTCCCCTGTCTTTAGCCTCAAGAACCAACCTGTCAATCAGTTCATACAGCAAATACAAATAACTGATCATTTCTTCAGTCAAATTAGGACTAAATGGACACAAAAGAAAGTGTATATGTCTGTTCTTCTTAAATAAACAAAGAAAGATTAGTGTAATAATACAAATTTACAGTCATTTCTGTCCTCTAGGTGTACCTGAATCTAAACATATTTTAATCTAAACATCTTTTAAACAGCTTTTAAAGTAGTGTACTAAAAAGCTCATTCGTACTTGTAAGATGAGATGATCTCTCGATCTAGGACTGCATTGGTGGCCAGAATCCCACGAACTGAGTCAACACTGAAAGCATTGTTGTGGTTTCCATCCACAATGGAGTAGTCTATCTGGCCGTTCACACCACTGTCAGAATCCATTGCTAACACCTACAAAAACAAGAGTTAATGCAATTATAATACATGGGGGTTTAAATGTGTTATTTTACGCAAACTGATCATATTAATCACTTGATACAAGAATACTGAGCACTCTAATCTGCTAATCTACACCGATCAGACATAACATTATGACCACCTCCTTGTTTCTACACTCATTGTCCATTTTATCAGCTCCACTTACTATATAGGTGCACTTTGTAGTTCAACAATTACAGACTGTAGACCATCTGTTTCTCTGCATTCTTTGTTAGCCCCCTTTTACCCTGTTCTTCTGTGGTCAGGACCCCCATGGAGCAGGTACTCTCACAGAGCAGGTACTATTTGGGTGGTGGATCATTCTCAGCACTGCAGTAACACTGACGTGGGGGTGTGTTAGTGTGTGTTGCGCTGGTCTGAGTGGATCAGACACAGCAGAGCTGTGTCACTGCTGGAGTTTTTAAACACCTCAGTGTCACTGCTGGACTGAGAATAGTCCACCAACCAAAAATATCCAGCCAACAGCATCCTGTGGGCAGTGTCCTGTGACCACTGATGAAGGACTAGAGGATGACCAACACAAACTGTGCAGCAGCACATGAGCTATCATCTCTGACTTTACTTCTACAAGGTGGACTGACAAGGTAGGAGTGTCTAACAGAGTGGACAATGAGTGGACACAGTATTTAAAAACTCCAGCAGCACTGCTGTGTCTGATCCACTCGTACCAGCACAACACATACTAACACACCACCACCACATCAGTGTTACTGCAGTGCTGGGAATGATCCACCACCCAAATAGTACCATGGGGGTCCATGGGGGTCCTGACCACTGAAGAACAGGGTGAAAGGGAGGTAACAAAATATGGAGAGAAACAGATGGACTACAGTCTGTAATTGTAGAACTACAAAGTGCACCTATACAGTAAAAGAAGTTGATAAAATGGGCAATGAGCATAGAAACAAGGAGGTGGTCATAATGTTATGCCTGATCGGTGTACTTAATGGAATATGTCAGGCACGTAGGGTTCCCACTCTTGCTAGGAATTTGTTTCCCAGGACTTTTCCAAGACATTTTCCATGACCTCCATACATGACAGCAGTTTCTTACAGAATGTCATGCTGACTTGCATCTGCTGAAAAAACGTCTAATTTGACCAGGGGTGTTCAAAATGTTGTGCACACCTGAATGTAGTTCAGTATTAGACTTTGCAATAACTGTTTGGGGAACGGTTTGCAGAGTTTGTCAGTAAAGAATTGATTAATTGACTTTAATGTAAAGTTTTTGCTTACACTCAGCATGGGCTGATATAAGTAACTAATAAGTAACTGAGTAACTAAAGATAATTGACACTTACAAAGCAAGATAAGACTAAAAATTTTCTAAAATGGCATTAAGAAATGGACGTTAAAAAGACTGAAAAAACTCTGATAGAATTTCTCATAGATTGGTCAGCTACGCAAAGCAAAATCCTACATCAATAGCAAGGACCTACAGGAAGATTTGCCTGGCAGGAGAACAGTGAAACACTGACCCAATGTGCAGTGTCATCGCACAAACATCATCTACATGGAAGAGTCTCAAAAGGAAATCTCAATTGTGATCTCATCAGACATCGTCTGATGTATACAGAATAACATTTACAACCCCCATTTCCAAAAACGGGACACTGTGCAAAATGTAACAAAAAAAAACCCTATATTTCATTGAAAATAGTACAAAGACAACAAATCAAATGTTGAAACTGAGAAATCTTATTGTTTTTTTGAAAAATATATGCCCGATTTGAATTTGATGCAAACAACACGTTCCAAAAAAGTTGGGTCAGGGGCATGTTTACCACTGTGTTTCATTACCTCTTCTTTTAACAACACCCTGTAAGCATTTGGGAATTGACCAGGGGTGCCCAAACTTTCACATACAACTCACCTTTAGAGACCAGTGGCTGTGTCTATTTATTTTAACAAAAGGAAATGACAGTTAAGTTTAAATTACTAAAACCTCTGTGAACTACAGAGTGCCACTCTCTTGACCATGTCTCCTTTGCAAAAGAGATTCTACCTCAATAACTTTCTCTTGATGAAGTAAACAAAACTTAGATTAAGTCAAATAAATTAATTTATGTATATGGATAATGGATTAGGGCATAATCTAGACAGAGATTCTCATCTTCTTTCTTTCCTCTGCTTGTGGCTCTTCATTTAAATGTCAGTACATCAGTATTAAACTTTCCATGTTTCCAGGACCTTACTTACATTTCCAGCACATTTGAGGAGTTTGCTCATTTTTCAAGTGTGTTCCATGGCTGGAAACCTAGTCTCTAAATTTCCAGGTTTTTGAGGATGTGAAGGAACCCTGGGAACATGTACCTGCATGACATAAGTGTTGTGGATTTGTCCCTCCCAGACAGCCGTTCTGTAATAGCTCTGCTTAAACACTGGTGCGTTGTCATTCACATCCTGCAGAGCGATGATCACTCGAGCGTAGGCCGACTGGTGGCCATTTTCTGCCAGCACCACCAAATGAACCTTGCGCTCTGTCTCAAAGTCAAGCAGAGTCTGTTCTCGGACTGTTATATCACCTGTTGGAAAACATAAGCTGTTACAATGGGCTTATTATTTGGAATTTGACAGAGACACACAAGTGTGATAATTTATGCATGCAGTTAGCACCATGCTAATTAGTGAGGTATAAGCTTCCATTACTTGTTAGCTACATTAGTCTAAACTAAAGAAGATAAACTTCAAAATATGCATCCTTTGTCATTATAGTCTAGGTACAGAAGGGACACCATGGTAATACCTTACAGCTATTTTTCTCACCTGTGTTAGGATTGATGCTGAATGCTCCATTCTCATTGCCATTGAAAATACTGTACTTGATTGTGGTCCTTGGTGCAGTCTGGTCATGGGCCACCACATTTGCCACCCAGGAGCCTTTATTTTAGAAAGTACAAACCAATAAAACCTACCATTGGTTAAAAATCATTATAAAACCTGACCTTAATAACTGTATGCTATTAGAGGTCATCAGTTTCGGTCCTAGAGGCTCTCAATTTAAAACAATTTTACAAAATCACCTGATGATATGTTTATTAAAGATATGCGTTCTCCCTGCTCTCCAGCTCATTAGTTAATTAGTAAAACCTCTATCATCTGAATTAGATGCATAACATCTAACATGTAACATGTCAGTGCTGTGGCCCCACAAGTCACAATTTAAGTAAATAATGTTGGAAACCTATTAGCAAATGTACAGTAATTCATGCAGTGTATGATTTTTCACTTATGAAACTACTCTGACTATATTATAACATATCAGGAGCGGCTGATCTCCGTCTCTGTCTTCTACACTGTATTTGAGGGATTTGGCAATTCAATTAGGAAAAACAGCAAACTGCACCTGTCTTGCTGTTCTCTGGTAAGGTCACTTCATAGAGCTGCTCAGTGAACTGCAGCAGCGGCCTTTCTCCATTAAGCTGAACCAGCAGCAGGCAGGTGGAGGTGAGGGCAGGTGTGCCCTGATCTACAGCCAACACCGACAGCATCCTGGAACCCGATACCCCCTCAGTCAGTGGAGCCTTCAGCCGGACCCCTCCAGATAAACGGTCGATCTGAAACAGCCCGTCTTCCTCCATCAGACTGAATGTCACTGTTCCCGTTCTCCTTATGGTCCGGATCATCTGCTACCACTTTAGTGATGGGTTGACCAGGATATGCAATACCTGCCATGAGTAGAGGAGAGAAATAGTCACAGTTACTCATTTACATTCTTTAACCATGTCACATGGAAGATTCACTTTGTTTTTTTTATATACTGTACAGCAGTATGATCACAGTGTTGAATTTTGTCAATATCTGAATATTTCTAAATGAAAACTATACTTCTACTCTAGTCTATCTGTGAGTACTGGAGTAAATGACTTTTTATTCAGTTTTTGTGTTTCTACATAATTAAACATTTCTGCATAATTAAAAGGTTGAGAAATAAATTCAGAGTGATTTGGTGTGAAACGCTGTTCTAGAGAAACTTGCTGAGTCAGAAATACAGAAGTGGTGAAGTGGTGATAGGAACCAGATGTCTGAGGAGTTTAATGATGTCTAATGATGTCTGTAAAAGCTCCCTCACGGAAATGGTTATGAATATCGCTGTTGTCAGAAGAAAACCTCCAATCTCCAAAATGATAACTTTACAGGAGAAGTAGAAAACCTACTTTGCTTTTAATGTAAGTCAATGGAACCAGACTTGTTGCCAAGTCATTTTGATCCATTTCTTCTGGTCCATTCTTAATAAAATGTACATACAATGTAAAGGGCAACAGGTATTTTCAAATTATGTCAAAAACTGAAAAACGAAAAAAATGGAGATACGAAGTTTTCTTCTGACAGCAGCGATATGCTGCCTGATGTCTGACACATTGTTTACAGTAGTCTTGAGAAGTCTTTTAAAATCTATTCATGGTGGAAAGTTACAAAAAAAAAATAGAAGACACATGTAGGTTCACAGCTGGTTTTGAATAGTAAATGGCTACATTTGTGTTGTAAACATTGCAACCCCTGGTTCCTATCACCACCACTATAAAGAAATCTGAGAGCAAGTTTCTCTAGAACAGAGCATCTCACATCAAACCACTCTAAATGACTTTGTCTACATCTTAACTGTTTTTTATGAAGAAATTGTGGCCCTTTAGTTTCATTTTGTTGTGTTTGTTCAGCTCCTGTTCTGTTTAACTGTTGCTTATACCTCTCGATTTGGAGCTTTAGCATCTCACTTTAAACCAAAAAGAAAAAACAGAGCCTTACAAACTTCAGTTCCTATGTTGATAGATGCTGGATGGACTAAGAGTTTCTAATGCAGTTCTAAAAGCACTCCAGGAGTTTTGGATTCTAATACCTTTGAGATGTACACAGTCATTCAGATTTCTATACAGTGGTCTTAATAGGATCCAGGGGTCAGTATACAGATTACAGTATGAAGTATTTAACCATTTTACTTACTGTCCAAAGCCAGTAGTGAACTTACAGGGTCAATATGTAATATTATATTATCAATATGTAATATTGATAATATAATATGTAATGTTTCTTTTCTGGACTATATGATAGCTAAATGATTGTAAAACAATGTTTTAGGAACCAGGCAGTGTATTCATAATCTTTCTGTGAGGGAGCTTTTAGAGACATTAAACTCTTCAGATATCTGCATCCTATCACCACCACTGTGAACAATTTTGACTCAGTAATCAATGGAGTTCCCCTTTTAGTTGTTTATTGCTACTTTTACTTCTAGTTGAACAATTATTTCACTGCAGTAATAATGCTTTTACTGTTAATACGATGACTGTACCCACCTCTGGTGGTGATTGACACCTGGGTGGGTCCCTTGGCGCATGCAGGTGGGTTGTCATTGACGTCTTCTACCTGGATGGTAACCAGGGCGATGGAGCTTCGAGGACCCTGACTGCAGTTGTCGGTTGCCATGGCACGGAAAGTGTGCTGAGAACGCATCTCTCGGTCCAGCGGCTTCGTCAGAAAGACAGCACCTGTCACAGAATCCACAGAGAAGATTCCAGCAGTGTCCTCAGCCAAAGAGAAGGTGACTTCCCCGTTCGGACCCTCGTCAGGGTCCCTGGCGCTGAGCCGGAGGAGTTCGGAACCGACTGGGAGGCCTTCGCTAACAGAGGCACGGTAGCTCTTGCGGCTGAATGTAGGGCTGTTGTCGTTTTCGTCAGAGAGAGAGATGGAGAGGAGGGTGGTGGAGGTCAGAGGAGATGGACCCTGGTCACAGGCGGTGATGCTGAGGGTGTAGTTAGAACATTCTTCCCTGTCCAAAGCTTTCACAGTGCTGATTGCGCCTGTTACTGCATCTATGGAGAAATGACCGTCTGTATCTAATGAGCAGAGGAGAAGATAGACAGAAGTGAGAGGAGTTGCAGTTGAATAATTAGATGCTGACCAGCAGATGTCTAAAAAGCACACAGTAACTTTACTTAAGTGAAAGTATGCTCAATTACTCAATTAAAAGTATGGAGCTAAACTGTTGAGTGACAGTTGACAGGATTAGACCCTTTTAGAAATAAGGTCAGGTCAAAAAGGCAAAAAAAATGTTTTTTGTTACGATGTAGCTTCAAATATAACATGAAGAAATTATTAGATCATAGATTTGATAGAACTGTAGGAAATGTGGGAATTTTGTAAGAATAATTTTAAAACTGACCTAAAGATTTAATTATAACACACATATATATATATATACATACATATATATAGATATAGATATATATATATATACACACAACCCCATTTCCCAAAAAGTTGGGATGCTGTGCAGAATGTAAATAAAAATAGAATGCAATGAAGTGCAGGACTGCAGGCAGGTCAGTTTATCACCCAGACTCTTTTACTATAGAGCCATGCTGCTGTAACACATGAATGGCATCGTCTTGCTGAAATAAGCAAGGCCTTCCCTGAAAAAGACGTCATCTGGATGACAGCATATGACGCCAAAACATGAATATATCATTCAGCATTAATGGTCCCTTCACAGATGTGCACGTCACCCACACCATGTGCACTAATGCCATAACCCCTATACCATCATGAATACTGCCTTTTGAACTGTACACTGATAACAAGCTGAGTGATCTTTAGCTCAGGGGACACAGCGTCCATGATTTCCAAAAAGAATTTCCAATGTTGATTTGTCAGACACTTCTCCACTTCTCCTCAGTCCATTTTAAATGAGCTCAGGCCCAGAGAAGGTGACGGCGTCTCTGGATCCTGTTTATATATGATTTCTTCTTTGTGTTTAAGAGTTTTAACTTGCATTTGTGGATGCAGCGCTGAACTGTTTTCACAGACAGTGGTTTTCAGAATTGTTCCTGAGCCCATGCAGCAATTTCCTCTACAGAATCATGTCTGTTTTTAATGCAGTGAGGGCCCAAAGATCACAGCCAGAAAATACTGGTTTTTGGCTGGTTTTGAGTTTTCTCCAGATTCTCTGAATCCTTTAATGTTATTACGTAGATGATGAAAAGCAGAAGTTCTTTTCTATTTTATGTTGAGAAACGTTATTCTTTAATTGTTGCACTATTTGCTTGTGCAGTCTTTCACAGAGTGGTGAACCCCTCCTCATCTTAACTTCTGAGACTCTGCCTCTCTGGGATGCTTTTTATACACAATCATGTTACTGACCTGTTGCCGATTAACCACCAGGTGATTTTTTTTCATCAAATTCAAAATGCGCATATATTTTTCAAAAAATAATAACATTTCTCAATTTCAACATTTGATATGTTGTCTTTGTACTACTTTCAATTAAATACAGGGTTTAAATGATTTGCACAGCAATGGATTTTGTTGTAATTTACATTTTGCAAAGCATCCCAATTTTTTTGGAAATGAGGTTGTATATATTAGATGAAATATTGCTGTCTAACACAAAAAGTACATCCTCCAATAATTTATTGTGCTTTAGGAATGTATTAAGATGAAAGAAGCTGAAATACGTTTGTTAGTGTTTTCACACCCAGTTAATCTTTAGCTCAGTTCAGTCATTCTGTAAACAGTTAAACTCAGTGTTTAAGATGCAGTTTACATCCTAATAGGGTAAAATCAGTTTAATTAACAGGGTTAAAATCAGTTTAATTAAATATTTTCCATGGAAATCAATGAAAGGCCCGGACAAGCCCTAGGTGAAAATAACCCTCTCTGCTGATCAACTGTGTGATTTAATTAGTCAGAGGAGAAATTACTGTCAGTAGTTCATCAACGATGTACAAAACAGAAATCACTGAGAGAAGAGTCAAAATTAACACAGTTTATAAATTACTTTTTTATTATAAACTTCTAATATAGTGTTAAGGAAAGTAAATGCACGGCAATTTGTGTAATAGTTCTGTTTCGTGTTTTGTCGTCTACTGGCTGATTTCATATGATTTTAATATGTGTTTCTCTGAGTTATGTAGGCTACACATATAAAAGGAGCAATAACAAATTCCCACTATGTTGGACAAAGTTATAAAACCTAATCTTGAGGAAACTAATCTAAGGAAAGACATAATTGACTCATAAGTGAAGTCATATTAGCAGTAATGTTGAGAACGTCCACTCACTCTGTATAGAGAACTTCACAGTTCCATTGACGCCGTTGTCAGGGTCGGAGGCCTGGGCAGTGTGAATGACTCCTGGAGGGAGGTTCTCCGGTATAATGATGTGGAAAGACAGTTGGGAGAACTCAGGAGGATTGTCGTTTTCGTCCAGCACAGAGCACAGAACCGTGGTGGTGCTGGAGAGAGGAGTAACCCCACTGTCCTCTGCCTGAACTGCAAACCAAATCAAACCAAATCAGATACAGTGAGAGTTTTAACCTGGAATCGCTATATTAGAGGATCTCATGGGAGTTTGTTCAAATTGTACGCAGTATATCTAGAGACCTACTCAGTTTATATTCTTTAAAAATATCAGAGATTTATTCTGGGTCCAAACCATTCATTGATTTGTAGACTAGTAGCAGCACCTTAACATCTATTCTGTAAGTAACTAGTACCCAGTGTAAATATTTAAGAACTGGAGAAATGTGTACTCTTGGTTCTGGTTAAAATTGTTGCAGCAGTGTTTTGAATGACCTGTACATGTTTTTGGGAAGTCCAGTTAAGACACCATGACAGTAGTCCACCCTTCTGGAGATAAAAGCATGGATGAGTTTCTCCAGGTCTTGCTGAGACACCAAACCTTTGATTCTGGCTATATTTTTAAGCTGACAGAAGGCTGCTTTGGTGAATATTTTGACATGGCTAATGAAGTTGAGATCTGAGTCTATTAGACCGTCAAAAATTTGGTCTTTGGTCCAAAATTAATGTATAAATTTGCAAGTCATGGCTATTAAGGCTCGGTATCAAAATTCAAAACTTTTATGGTACGGAGCAAATTACTTCAAGGATACGGAGTATCAAAATATGTCATTCAGAAACTCCAGCTGCCCTTTACACTGTGTCAAAATGATGAATAAACAACAGAAATGGTGAAAGATTACTTGGAAATAACATGTTGTTACATTATTGTACATTAAAATTAATAATATGTTGTCATTCTTCTGTAAAGCTACTATTTTGGAGATTTGGAGGTTTTCTTATGACAGTAATGAAGGGCAGTACTAAGTGAGGATGGAGCTGTCAAGAGAGGATTTAGGCTAATTTCAGTGCAGGGATGGATAGTAATCAAATATAGTGATTTTTAAATGATGAACTCAGAGTGTGGGTGAAAAATGGTGTTGAGTCCTGGAGGTCTGTAGAGGTTGAGGGGTGATGGAAAAGCTCTTATACCTATGTGGAGTTTTACCTCTTAGAGTGAAGCTTTGGTGGATCTCTCTGTCCAGCTGGGTGGAGGTGCTGACCAGGCCGGTGTGGGAGTCAATGGTGAAGAACTCATAACCAGGACCAGGCAGGAGGCTGTAGATCACAATCGCATTCTCCTCTGTGGGAGAAAAAAGACAAATAGAGAAACACACTTTTAAAATTTTTTATCAACCTAAAACACAATCAAGTCTATTAGACATTACTGGATGACTCCACACAATTTGTGGCAAGCGTGATGATACATGCATGCAGTTAGTAAAGCTTATACCTCACCAAATGGGCTTTAGTTGCTCTATTTTTAGCTTTACTTGTTGGCCACAGTCCAATACAAAAGTTTTTCTAAGTGAAAATAAGTTATAAAATTAATTTGCCAGAAAACAGTATAGACATAGATTTTCTGCCATACCACCTATGTCTGGAAATAAATATTTTTTGCTTGCAAACTGTCTTCTTCACTAACTGTCACCTTTCTCAACAATTTATTTGTGTCATACAGACTTTTTATTTTATGAACTGAAAACAATATCAAGGAAACTGATTACCTTAACACAATTCTACTTATTTACAATGTTTACAGTGTAGGCTTCTGTCAGTTGTGTCTACCTGAGTCCAGATCGACTGCGCTCACTCTGACCACAGGCTGCCCCGGCTCTCGGTTCTCTGCAACGGTGGCAACATAAACACGGCGTTCAAACATGGGAGCCTCGTCATTCACATCCAGCACGACCACAGTCAGAGTCTGAGTACTGGACAGAGATGGCAGCCCACTGTCTGAGGCCTGCACAGTGAGCCCAAAGGCATGCTGAGATTCGTAGTTCAGAGAGGAGTTCAGATACAGGTGACCTGGATAGAAATAAACATACAAAAAATTGATCCACTATCACAGAAGACATATCACTGAATGCATGAGAAATTATTTGGGGGAATAATGTATGACGAAGTGAATGATGTCCATCACAATGACTGACAAACAGACTGTGAGGTCTTGAATACTGTATAAAACATTAATAGCAGTTTCAAGAAAAGCTTGAGCAATATATGTACATTTGAGGCTATGCTGTACACAAGACATAGCACCTGATTCAGCTTTTCTAATGTTAGTATATGTTGTTACTGATCATTTGTGTAGGACTGCAACTTAAGATTTCTATAATTGATTGACCTAATATTCAATTTATTGACTAACTATTCTGCCATCTTCGGTTCTTTTCGGCCGCCGTCATTAGTTCCATTAGTACAATAATATTATGTATTTTTTATATATTGCAATCTGTCAGAATGACTGTGTGGATCATGTAAACATTATAGAGCATTATAGAACACTTTTTAAATTGTCACTGTCCAAAAAACAAACATGTATCTCCATTTAATAGGAAATTTACAGTGGAACACAAAAACATTCTTAACTTTTACTGTAAGTTAGTGTAAAGTGATTTTATTCCAAGTGATTTTGGAGCACTTCTAAATGATCCATTCATCATGAAATTCTCACACAATGTAAACGACAGCTGCTGTGCTCAAAATATGTAGAAAAAAATATTTAAAAAATGGAGTAAAAATAAAGTTAAAAAAAGTTTTTTTTTTAAATGTGGCACTACAGGTTCTTTTTTCTCTGTTGTAACTTATCAAATCTCAAAAAAGTAAATATCATGATGTGTTGTGTACCATTAAAGTGTCATAAAGTATCGCAATATAAGTTTTGCCATATGGCCCATCCCTATGACAACTATTAATTGTTGCAGCCCTGCTGATGTACGCTGTACCTGTTCTCTCCAAACGAAAGTGTCCATCTTCGTTTCCACCAATCAGACTGTAGGTCACGTGACTGTTTTCCCCCTTGTCTTCATCTGTGGCCAGCAAGTGAAAAAGAAGGCTTCCAACCTCCACGTCCTCCGACACGTGAACTGTGTCCATGGCAACAAAAGCAGGGCTGTTGTCGTTGACGTCAATTATGAAAACTTGAGCTGTTACTGAGGAGTGTTTCCGGTCATCTGGGTTTTTGGCCTGGTCTCTGGCGGTGACAGTAAACACAAAACTTTGGATGCGTTCTCGATCCAACTGTGCAGTGGTCGTGACAACCCCAGTGTGAGGGTCAATGCTGAATGGCAGCTCCTCTATAGAAGAGCCAGAGTCAAAGGTCATTGAATAACGAATCACACTGTTCTGGAGACTATCGTCCCCATCACGCGCATTAAAGGCATACACTGAAGTTCCCACGGCAACGTCCTCCTGAACACCGAACACCACAATGTTATCGTTGCCAGGGAACCAAGGGGCGTGGTCATTGACATCATCAACGCTAACAGCCACTAGCATACTGGCATTCATAGTGGGTGGAGCCTCTGCTCGGATCACTAAGAAGTAGCGCTGCGTAGCTTCGTAATCCAGAGGCTGCGCCACATACAGGTCGCCACTGGCTGAGTCAATGCCAAAGTGTAAACTCCCATCACCCTCGGCAACAGAGTAGCGCAGCTGTTTGTTAACTGTTCCAGAAAAGCGGAGCGAACCAATCACAGTTCCCAGCTTAGCGTTCTCTCTCACAGTGAAATGCCTGAGGCCCAGAAAACCGTTTTGTTTTTGTGAAGCATGTACCTGAAATAAATCAAACATAATACAATCTAAGCACAGATAATGCTACATCTTCCCTCAGCATGAGACGCTGACACTGATGAAACATGATATTTAATAATTATAATTCTGGCACATCTTCATTATGAAACAATGATGCTAATTAACGAGTACTGTCCCTGCTAAATGACCAACAGCGTGTATGTTCCATAATGTTTAAAAACTGGCAAAATGACTAGGGTCCGCCTGGTTTTGTAGACATACAATATATTCAGTCTAGTCTTGGTATCAGGCAGTGCATTACTGAGCTCCAGAAGCTTCACCTGGATGTGTACTAGTGCCCTCTGCTGCAGGGGCGTGAGGCCGTTGTCCTTGGCAACCACAGTGAGGGTGTAATTGGTGTGGGGGTCTGAAAGAAATCCTGTTGTAACTCTGATGTCACCGCTCTGATGGTCAATTTCAAAATGACCCTTTCCACCATCTACAAGGGGAACGATAAAAAGATACTTTTACCAGCCGACATTACATATAAACACAACACTATTATGTAATACATATGATTAGAACATATTTTGGAGTGCAGAAAGTCCTCAGACACACAAAACAAATGGTTTTCAAGCAATATTTCAGGCTAAATCCCCTCTTACTCTAAATGTGCTGTTTGCTGCTTGAGGTATGCAGTTTAAGCACTGGAGCTACAAGGCCAATGTAGCTAGGGTTGGGCATGGTTATGGTGTTGAATTACATCACAATATAATTTTCTAAGCATATCATTAATATGGTCAGTACCAACAGAACACTGAACTGCATGTTTCATTACAAAAGAGAGCACAGAATAATCCTGCCGTGTGAATAAAAAACGTTACATTCATAGTTTGTCAAACCTCTGAAACGTTACATTCAACGTTACATTCATAGCATGTCAAACCTCTGAAAAACTAAATGTTGTGATGCTTATCATGGTTTTGTGATTATGTTTTTGCCAATTTGCCCCCAGCAAAATGAAGCTAATGAGAAATGGGAGCAATTAGCATAGTGCTAACTGCATGACTAAATCATCATATACTTGCCTGTGTAGTTGTTCAGTAATCACTAATATACTTTATTATGTGGTTTCTGACACTGTATGACACACTATTATCTATACACATGGACTAAAATTCAAGTTATCTGCTACTGTTTGTAACTATGTTACTATTTGCCCATTTTTATAGATTTCCAGTACTGGTTAGCTACATTAGCCTCGTAGTGCCAGCTAAACTAAAGAAGCAAACTTCAGACAACAAACTACAACTACGCTTGGGGTCAGGGGTTGAAAATATGTGAATTTTATTTTTTGACTGAGTAATGCTCTAGCAAACAATAATGATGGAAAAATATGTCATAAACATAAATCCTACTGATGAAGTCCATGTGCTGGTTTTGCTGCTGACCAGGTATGCTGGTTTTTCTAAAGGAGCATGCATATCTTAGTTTACCTGAAGTCAAAGAGAATGTAACAGTTCCATTCTCTCCAGCGTCTCGATCCTTAGCAAACATGCTGACGACCACTGACCCCACTGCAAGGCCTGACCACACCTGACCACACATGAAGACAGGACGGTGTTAACCTTTTTCAGTCATTACATGAAAGTGATTTCCTTAGTAAATCTGCTCATTTGTGCAAATTAAGGACCGTAAGGTTAACATGCTGTCATTCTCAACAACACATAATTGGTGAACACAAATGCTTTATATCCTAAAGACCAATTCATTTCATTCTAAATATGTACAGACATATGCAAAAGTTTGGGCACCCTGGTCAATTTCCATGTTTTATTAATTTTTTAAAGGAAAATAAGTGAAAATAATCCGCTACAGAGAACACACTTTTATGTACACATTTTAATGTACAGTTTCTTTATTTGCTGAATTTAACATACTTTAAATAAATATTAAGTAAATGTAAGATGTGGCCAGTGCAAAATTTATGGCACATTTTATATTTTATTATTTTCCAATATGTCCAACACAGCAAATAAGCAGACAAATAAACTCTGCACTAAAGACAGCATCTTATAAAAAACTATCCTTATACAATTACACAAATTATATCTTACAAATAGATAAAAAAGTAAAGTGATATCTTCAGTAATGTACATAGCAGTATTTATATAAAACAATTATTCATCATTTTAAATATTTATTCATGAATAAATATATGATATTTAGTTTTAGTCATTTATACTTTGTATATTCTATATAACATGGGTGCACAAACTTATATGTCTTGGGGGAGGCAATGTAACATGGTTTGTGATGGGCTGAGGGCCAAACAGACATAACAATAAACAAATAAAAGGACGTGGGAGATTTTTAAAAAGTATTTTATAACATCACAATATATTTTGTTACTAAAAGTAGTTATATATAGAATAAAATTATATTTGTTCACTCATTGAGTAGGGGCGGGCTTAAGGTACTTTCTTCCTTGGACCAAATCAAACATTCTCACAGAGCTACTTTGGGCAGTGTAGATATATAACAATGGTGGCTAGTATGAGTAAAAACTCAGTCTCTGAAAACTTCTTTCTGGATTTGTAGAACTCAGCTACAAAACTCAGTTACACGGTCAGTACATTATACTTAACAGTGAATATGAGCTAACAGCTGCCAGTTAGCTCAGTGTCACTGTGTTAGCAACATTAGCACTCTTGTTTGCTGTTAGAGAAGAAATGAAGTAAACGGTGGGAACCTGCACATTCAGCTCCTTGTTTGTGGGCAGGTGAGTGAACTCAGGAGGGTTATCGTTGATGTCAGAGACCAGGATGTGGACGGTTGTGGTGGCATTGAGGCGAGGATGACCATGGTCAGTCACCAAAACTCTCAGAGTGTAGCAGGAACGTTCCTCACGATCCAGAGCCACCCAGTTGATGATCTCACCTAAACAAGAGAGAAAGAGAGAGACACAGAGAGACAGAGAGTGAATGAGAGACAGAGAGAGAGAGAGAGAGAGAACAGAGAAAAAGAGAAACATGAAGAGAAAAAAAATTGACAGAAGGACAAGAGAAAACACACATGCAGTCATTTTCTAAGCCACTTATCCTTGTGGGTAGCAGGGACAAGAGAAAACAAACAGGAGTAAATAAACTGTATATCATAACAAGTGTGACCTTTGGATTTACTACTGAGGTATGGCTTTTATCAGGTGTTCCTTCAATTATTGTCTACTCAAATCCCACAGCAATGCTGCAGTAGTCTCTGGGGTGATATTTTCTGGTTTAAAGGCTAGGAAAACCCTTTTCTGTTAATGTATCTTGAAGGTGGGAGGACCTTAGGGGCACAAAATATCATGTCTGTATTTATTAGCTACATCAGTGGCTGTACTAGCAGTCAGGAGTGCTTTATTGGGCCTATCTTTAGGCCTGAATGCCACTAAAGAAAACACGGAAATTTCAATAAAAACATTTTGAGAAGCTTGACATTCCCAATTTTTTCAGAATTACAGAGTAATAACGTAGCTCTCTCAAACCTGTCTTAGAGTTGATGCGGAAGTGTTTCCCGTCCGACAGCAGGATGTAGGACAGCTGTCCGTTTTTTCTCAAGTCTCTGTCCGTAGCCTTCACTGTCCCAATCAGGCCATGTGGGGTGGATCCCTCTGGGACACTGAAAAAGTACCTGTCCCTGCTAAACACTGGCGCGTTATCATTCTCATCCTGAACCATGACCACCACCATGGCCGTGGCGGTCAGATTAGCACTCTCATCACGAGCCGTGGCGCGAACATTGAACCGGTAGCTGGGTTCTGACTCGTAATCAAGACTTTGAGCCACAAAAAGCCAGCCAGTGTCAGGGTGAAGGAGGAATGGTGGTGGTTTGGAGAGAGGCTCCAAAGTATAGGTGAGACCTGGAGCTAATCTGGCAAAATCTGAGCCATGCCGGGTCTTGCTAGCATGAGCACGTACTTGAATCACTCTAGTGTCCCTCTGGGCGCTTTCTCCGATTTCCACCTGGTAGACCAAAGTCTCAAACGCTAAGGTTTCCTCTGCTGGAGGTGAGGAATCAAGCTCCACCACCAGGCTGAGCGACGAACTTAGCGAAGGACTTCCCTCATCTTCTGCCACCACAATGAGCTTATATCTCCGGTTAGCATCTCTCAAGATGTCATTATTTAGCGTTAGCATCCCTAGCCGAGGATGGATTGCAAATATTTCACTCTCGGGACGCAAAGAATAACGGATCTGTCCATTTGTGCCACTGTCAGCATCATGAGCATGTGCAAGGAAGAGTATTGTACCAGGAGGAGTATTGTAGGATATGGTGATTAGGTCTGAGGTCTTTGGGAAGACTGGTGGGTTATCGTTGGTGTCTGTGACGCTTATGTTGACCTGAGTGCTGCTGTAGATGGGTAAGGTGCCTGTGTGGGCCTGCAGGGTCAACATGAAGTAGGGCAGAGACTCATGATCCAAAACCTGGCTGGTGGAGATGACACCAGTTTGGGAATCCACAGAGAACAGACCCTGGGGGTCTCCAGAAGAGATGTGATATGAAAGAATCTCCACTGAATCTGCAGAGAAAATATTTATATCCATTATCAATAAACATCAATGCATCAATATTATCAAAAATGTCACTTTATCAGAAACACCTGCCTTGTACTTCCACTCACTGGCCACTTTATTAGAAACACCTACGTTGTACTTCCACTCCCTGGCCACTTTATTAGAGACACTTACCTTGTACTATCGCTCACTGGTCACTTCATTAAAACCACTTTTTAAAAACAATCTAGAGTATAAACCTAATTATAAAGCTATATGTGTAAATATACCTCTGCTAACCAGCCGGTCACCAGGAAAACCAGCATATGTTGTGTTCTGATATTGGTATGCTGGTCATCTAGCATTAACATGTTGGGGTGACCAGCTAAACCAGCACTTGACCAGACTAAACCAGCCATAGACTAGCTTCGATCAGTATAAAATGCTTGCTGGTCTGTGCTGTTTTGTTCAACAAGAATTAATGGTAATATTACAGTATTTTACTGGCAGCAATTTCAACGGTTACTGTATTCATACTATACTATAAAAAGACAATATTGTGCTAAATACAGCTGTTTGGTGTATTGTTTTTTTTCTGCACCCCTGTTTTTGTGATGTATGGCTCTTAACTGTATGTTCACAATATAACTGTTGTATTACCCCACTGTAATTAAAAGTTATGACTATTTAAAAAAATTTAAATAACTTTTTTCAAAATTTTTTGAATATGTTTTTGTAGGTTAATGTTATTTTGCATTCAGACAACCACTAAATCTCGTACAATCCAACACTTAAACCTGAAAAAAAAAATGTAACCTGACCTATAATGAAACCTATTTGCAGCAATGTGTTGTAACTAACAGCACAACAGGATTTCCACTGTAAAATTAAATATCTTTTTTTTACAGTGATTCTATCACTGCATCAGTTATCTGTACAGCTCTTTGTACTGAGTGTAACTGTCTCATGCTATTGTATGGAATCTCAGGTTTAAAAGGTTAGCAAAGGTAAATCTGCTCACAATTAAAAGATCTGCTCCCTCCCCCAAAACATACGGAGGGACAAAGAATGAACTAATCAGCTAAATCACAACCTCAGATGACTGTCTACCAAGCGTAAATACTAATACACGTGCACTAATCTTGAATTAACTGTAGAGAAACACACTCAGAAACCTTCGGTTTAAGGAGATGCCAATTATCATGCTAATCCCTAAATCATCATATGTGCCTCAAACCGCATAGAGTTGCAGTCTCCAATAAACTTTGTCTATAATAGATTATGTGAATTTTGACAATGTGACACTCTTATCTACAAATATGGACAAAAGTATAGACAAGATTTCCTTTTCCAGCTGCTACTTGTTAGCTATGTACTTTTGTCCATTAGTAAGTAAAGAAGCAAACTTCAGACACTGAACATGTCTTGGCTGATCGACTACATTTGTGATAAGGGGTGAACATTATGTAAATTTAAGTTTGTGCCAAACTTTTTGTCTCTCTTACTGAAGGTAGAGGAGTCCAGAGGCCACACAATGCAAATGCTGCCCTCAAGTCCTCCTCGGAAGTTCCTACATAAAATTTGGGAGGTCGTAAGTTCAACTTGATTTGCGTTCAAGTGGTTTTAAACAATGTTTATAGTTTACTTTGTTTTTCTGTTATTAAAGAAAATCCATTCATTTTGCATTACTGCAGCAAAATGAAGAGCAGAGGATGCTTATGAGATGAGTAATGTTTTTATCCAGTTAGAAGCATCACCTACAGCCCAACCAAAATACACTGACCTGCAGCAGAACGAGATGGAGTATTAGCGCCACTGATGAAGAAACAGTATAGCAGATTACTGTCATATGTTGGAGTACAGAATAACACCAAACACTTTTCTATTAAGATCAGCTAACTTTAGCTGGGTGCTTTGCTTCTTAATACAGCAGCTATTGACTTTGACCGCTTGACAGCCTATTTTTACAGGTTGTTTTGTATGTTAATTGCACTACATATCAAAAGTGTGGAAGCAAGAAGTGATTTATTTTTTAGTTTTGATGTCTTCATTATTATTACAAGTAAACAAATGGAAACCATTCATGAGAAGGTCTACCTTTAGTAAAACCTTTGGTAGTGTATAGGGGAATAAAAATGCATTGTTGCATTTTAATGCATCGATTTGAAGGTGGTGATTCAACAACACTTAACAACAAAATAAAATCCTAAACAGTTCTTCCAGTAATATTTAGGTATTCAGTGTTTTTTATTCCTATTTGTACCAAAATAATTGAATATAACTGAATGATCCGTTGCCTTTAGAAGCACTTCCTATTAGTGAAATTCATAGTGCACTATATAATGTATCATCCATGTTGTAGTGATGTTAATTTGTTGATGATAAATCTTTTACGTTGTTAATTTGCAAGAATAAATCCAGGCTGTTTACTAGGTTTTACTGGTTTTCTAGATCTAGATTAATCCTAAGTCTAGACTAAACAGTAGTTCCAATGGTTATTCATCATTGGCACTGCAATTTAGTTAAAGACTAGCCTTAATCCATGTCCAGAAAATTGGCCTACAGCAGTGAATTGTGAATGAGTAAATGAGCGAACCATTCCGAATGGCGAAATGCGACATTTTATGACTCATTGAATCATTTGCTAAAGATTCATAATTTAATCGTTTCATAATTGAAAAGTCAGAGATTTACACCCCTGGTACTGTAAATAAATCCGGAACAGTACAAGGACAGATGCTGTGGAGACTCACTGGGTGGTTTGATGGCCTGTACGGTGCCCACGGAGGTGCCTGCAGGCGCATCCTCTGGGATAGAGAAGCTGTAGTGTGACTTGTGGAAGAGTGCAGGTGCATGGTCACTGTGCAGGATGTTAAAGGTGATGTCAGCAGGCCGGACAGCAGACAGACCCTGACCATCATGGGCAGAAATGGCCAGCTTCACACTGCTACTGCCCAGCGTAGAGAGCGGAGAGGACAGACAGACCACACCTACACAAAACACATACACTGCTTGTAATGAAACATGCACTTGTTCAGTGTTTTTTAAGTAATGACCATATCCATATACTTAGAAAAGCATATTGTGATGACAATTATTACAATACAAAAAACAAATTTATCACTTGGTGTCATTTGAGAAACTCATCAACAAAGCATTGCAGTGCAAACTTTGCAGAATGAAGATCAGTGATCCACTGTGACTGAGGTGCTCCTGTGGTCAGTGGTGGCTTTTAGTGGGCTTTAGGCCCCACACAGGCAGATGGTGTGGACACTGCTAATTTTTCTCACCTAAATTTACCTTAAAATCTGAGTGAGTGGGCCTGCAAGGATTTAGGAGCCTCACCCAGGGAAGGCTCGTTAGCAGGTTAGCTGCTAGAACTGGACAGATGGTGCAATCACAATGTCAGCTTAGTGAATAAGATTTAGTGCAATACTGGTGAGGCCTATGGAAATGAATGAGACATACTTTACATATTGACGCTTAATTTATTCTACATAGGAACTCCACAGCACATGCACACACATTGAATAACTTATTTTAGAGAAGTATTTGAATATATATGCCAGTAATTGCAAGACATAAGATGTTTTATGTAAATCACATTGTATTGACGTAAGGGGCCTTCAGCTAAAGTAATAGAGAATCACAGTTATAACACTGTTATAAAGCATGGAACTTATAAGCCAGAGATTTACTGCATTTATATCGGTGTTGTCGGATCAAACCCTCGTATCTCCAAAATGGTAACTTTACAGGAGAAAGAAAAAACATACTTTACTTTTAATGTAAGTCAATGGAACCAGAAGTTTTTTGAGCCAAAAAGTCATTTTGAGCCATTTATTTTGCTCCATTCATCATGAAATTTACAAACAATGTAGACGGCAACAGGCAGTTTTCAAATTATGCCAAAAACTGAAAAACGACAAAAAAGGAGATACAAGGTTTTGTTCCGACAGCAGCGATATATTTATACTTCAGATACAGTGCAAAAGTACAGGTTCTATCAAGTAGGCTTGTGTAACTGCAGACAACAACTGTCACTTTTTTTTAAATGTACAAAAGAATTAATAATAAACGGTTCCTTAAAATGCCTGTGATAACTCGCAGTATATTTGCTTCTATTTTTCACTCAAGTCATTTATTTATCAAGGATATTTATACTTTCACTCAAGTACAGGATTTTTGTACTTCGTCCTCCACTGGTATTTATTTGTGGTAAAATATGTATAAAAATGATCCTTTAAAGGAGAAATAGATTTTTTACTTTTCTGTATAATTAAATGTTTAAGATATAAACAAAGTCATTCAGAGTGGTTTAGAGTGAAATGCTCACACTGTTTACAGTAGTGGTGATAGGAACCAGACTTCCACCTATAAAAGCTCCCTTACAGAAAGTTATTATATGAAATGGTTATGAATGTGCTGCCTTATTTTGACATAAGCTTTTGGTTTACAACGCACATTTTAAAAATGTATTTGTGTTGGTATATACAGGGTATTGTGAGGCAAAGAAGACTCTCTTTTTGAGATTTCTCACTGTTTTACCTTTATCATCTCAGCAGACATGTAGGTTCACTGGTAGTTTTGTATAGTAAATAAAATGGTTACATATGTGTTTACATTGCAACCCCTGGTTCCTGTCACCATCACTGTAAACAATTCTGAATACGTTTCTTTAGAACTGAGCATTTCACACTAAACCACTCTGAATGACTTTGTTTCTATCTCAACCACTGAATTATCCAGAAACTTTGTCCCTTAGTTTCACTCTGTTGTGTTGGTTCAGCTCCTGTTCTGTTTTACTGTTGCTCATACCTCTCACTTTGGATCTTTGGCATTTACAAACTTCATTTGCTATGCTGCTAGATGGTGGAGATGTCAAAAGTTATTCAGATTGGTTTGATATTAAACAGTTCATTCTAAAGAAACCTACTCAGATTTTTTTATAGTGGAGCCAGGGGTCAGTTTATAGTATAGTCTCTACAATGAACCATTTCATATCAAATCACTCTGATGACCACACTATGATTTGCTTACATCTCAACCTGAATTATGCAGACAAAACTTGGTGAAAATATATTTGACGGTATCAGAACCTTTCATAAAACTGATTTATGATGCTCTTAACTAGTAGTCAGCCTTATAAGTTCCATTACCTCTAAATGATGAATCATAACAGTGTTATATGCGGGACAAAAGTCTGTCAATTTGTCATTTACAATAAAACAATACCATATATTTAATAATAACACTGCAGTTTGGTCAATCGCACTTTAGTTACGTTCACATCCTAAAACTCTAGCTCCAGACACAAATTCTCAATCAAATCATTATTTTAACAAAACCTGGTTCTCATAACAAGGAAGACACTTCAGTGAACATGAAGCTGCTTTTATTTTTAAACCAATTTTTTCTTACCTAATCAAGTAATAACAGTAAAAAATTCAAATTTCAAAAGAGCACAAGTGGTTGCCTAACTTTTGACAAGCAGTTTATAAAACAGAATCAATAATATGAAAATTAAATATAAAAAATCAGTGAATATTTAAAACTGTAAAATCATGTGTGTACATTATCCAATAAATGGGCCATTAATACCACTAAGCAAGACAGTACTGTGTATCATTGTGTCCAGTAAAGCTTTAAAAAAAGTCTTCATCAACCCCCTTTCTAAAACGCCCAGCCCCCCTGATGGGAGATAAAAGTAGGGATCAGTGTACCAAGCTTATGAAGCAAAATAGCTCACTGACTCTTAAAGGCCACTGGGGGCACTAACGCTCGTTAAAGAATCATCTGCTCAGGCGGATTAGCGTCTTTAATACTCATGATTTTGGACACACTTAAGTTTCACAGTAAATAATTAAGCTGACAACAAAAGGCTGAGGCATAAATACTACATATTCAGGGACATCTCAGTATTTACTATGAATTATTCAGTATCCACTATGAATTATTCCATAAGTACTATTCAGTAACTACTATGAGTTAATTAGTGTCTGCTATGAATTATTCAGCATCTACTATGAATTATTCAGCATATACTATGAGTTAATTAGTGTCTGTTATGAATTATTCAGCATCTACTATGAATTATTCAGCATCTTCCATGAATTATTCAGTGTCTGCTATGAATTATTCAGTATCTATTATGAATTTTTCAGCATCTACTATGAATTATTCAGTATCTACCATGAATTATTTAGAAATAGTTAATAAATGCTAACATATTCAGTATTTGCTATTAATTATTCAGAATCTAATATAAAATATTCAGTATGTACTACAATGAATTACTCAGTACCTAGTTATCAGCTGCTATGAATTATTGAGTAACTAAAATAATTTGCTTCATAAATAAATTATAGATTTCCTCTCGACCAGTCACACACCAGCCAATTCAACATTCTAGTCTTAAGTTAAAACTTCCTGTCACAAGGAAATTCAAGGCATCAGGAACTTGTAAAATTCACTAAAAATCAAAGTCACTGATTCACCCTTGAAAAATATTTTTGCTTAAGCAAAGCTGACGTCCACTTTACCTGTTGATTGGTCGACTGAGAAAAGAGAGGAGGAGTCTCCAGGTAAAAGCTCATATGTGATTTGTCCATATTCACCGGAGTCGCGGTCAGTGGCAATGACGGTAAGTATCTCAGCTCCAGGCTGAGCGTGGCTGCTTACGCTTGTGATGTATTTCTCTGGATAAAAGACTGGGGCGTTATCATTCACATCCTCCACATCGATGTGAAGATATGCCTGAGACCACAGACCTCCCTGAGGAGAAGGAAAGATGAATGATTGAAAAGGTCTTCTACTCTCTATCACACATTTCTATCATTTTCTTTTTCTTTTACAACAAGTGGTCAAATGTCACTGGACAATACAAGTGACAGGCAGATAAAGTGAAATCACTCTTTTCAATAATTATCAAATCAATTATATATAATCTGTACTTTATAAATATATATATATATATATATATATATATATATATATATATATATATATATATATTTAGGTAGTGTATCTACAATGTATTGTTTGGATCAAAATGTAAAAAAAGAACAAAAATCTTTAAGCACTCACTTGGTCTTCTGCCTTTACTAAGAGGTCAAAGGTCACCAGACCTGCATCACGGTCAATGTCCTGAGATATACAGATGTCTCCGGTAACGGCGTCGATGAAGAAGAAAGGATGCGAGTCTTCACTGTTGTACCCATCAGAAAATGAGTAGTGCAGCATTCCAAACTCACCACCATCAGCATCTTCAGCACTGACCTGCACATGATGACAAGATGACCATAACTTATGGCCTTTTTTATAAAGATCATTTCTATAATGATCCCATCCCACAGCAAAAGCCATATCACTCCCTACACTTCCTGTAGTGTATTACAGTCTGTCAGAATGACTGTGTGGATCATATAAACATTACAGAGCACTGTAGTGCTTTTCAATTTGTTGAAGCCCCAGTCATATATCATGTAAGTCAACACTAGGCCCAAGAACAGGGTGGCCTGAATCTCTGACCTGTGCTCATAACCCTTAATTCACCTTAATTCTGTCACTACACCCTCAGTGCCAATGCACCCATAAGGCCTCCAGCTCAATCCCATTACAACATTAGCCACGGTGTTGGCACAGCAATGTCTCCCTGCAGAGGGTGTGCCAGACACAACAGGATAACCACATCCACTGACGCTTTATCTTCACCATTTCAGCTTCACACCACTCTGTCACAGGGGTGCGTATCCGAACACGGCTCAGCCATTCAGATTTTAGCACCACAGCTGTCCCTTTCATAAAAAGTGCTTTATAGTGCAAAGTCTCTCATGCTAAGTGCACAGCTACTTATCTCTACCAACAGCTAATGCAGCAAATAGCTTTTGCTGTAATGTAGATAAAGCTTCAGAGGTGGATATTAGTTATTAAGATTATTCTTCAAAACAAAACATACACATTCTGTCTTTCAAAGTTTCAGTATTAGTGATGAAAGGTTCACTTCAGGTTTACCAAGCTGATTCTTTCAAACTGTCCATTTTAGGCTTGGGTGATAGGATGATGTAAGATAGATGATAGATAGATGGATACTTTATTGATCCCAAAGGAAATTTAGCAGCCAGTAGCAGTCACACAACACAGGACAGTAATAGTAATAAGGATGTAAACAATATAACAGGAAGAATAAATATTAAAAAATCCTATCTACAGGCATATATACAAATAGAAAAATACAACAATCTGGAATAATATCTTTAACCTGAGATGAAAAGACGCAATGCAATAATGACTCTACAAGGAGGCACAGCTAACGACATATAATGACAATACAGAATAAATATGTGCAGATATTGGTACCAAAATAAAGTGTCTACTGTGGAGTGTCCAGATGTGCAATAAGGTGTGCAGAAAGTGCAATATGTGCAGTAAGGTGTCCATATGTGCAGATGGAGATTTAGCATGAGATATAAGACCTATGATTTGTGATTTAACATGAGATTCAGACTGACATAATCATAAGACATAATCAATAAGGATGCATCAATGCCATTTTTATCAAAGTACATTTTTTTAGTACTCACCGATTTGGAGTCTGATAACATAATAAATTACCTACTTAGAATGAATGTCCCCTAAAGCCAGGCATACACTGTGTGATTTTAGAAATCTTGCTCTTTGGTGGGTCACACTGTAAGTTTGAATAGTCTGTCATGTATAGACAAAGCCTGAGATTTATATAGTCACACTATACGTTATACTGCTACTTGAAACGCAGCCTCTTTAGACGGCTCTGTCCATAAACAATTTCAAATAAAGCTGTTTCATTCTAAACAACATGCTGCGCACCGAGTACTGAGCTAACGCACTGAGAAACTGAGCTACAGCAGTTTAGCTAACCACAGTGTGCACTGAAATATACACAGTACGACAACACAGTCTCTCTACAGCCTGTTTTTAAATGATCTAAGTCAACATTTCTACCTCGCAGTTCTACTTAGTCAAACCGAGTCGGCATTTATGAATTTTGGTAGAAAATGTCGAATTTTCGCCTGAGTTTTGCTAGCCTACGTGTTTGTGTTTATGTAAAAACAAGCGAGGGGGTTCAGTCCCGAAGTGGCATCTGGCAGCAGGAAGTGGCAACTCCGCCGTCCGGAAATGGCACGTACTGGCATGTACGCCGATAAATAGTCTATACATACTTTAGATTTAGCATGAATAACACCACAATGAATTCAGTAATTAGTTTGAGTACATCTGTAACACGAGCTGCTTTCTTCAGCTCTCCGTGCCACAACAAAAGCCCAAAATGACAGACTACCTGCACAGAGTCTTTAGGTCAACATTCCTCCATGACTTTTCCCAGGTTCTGATGGCCGATGGTGGAGCTATGATGTGCCGCTAGTTAGCCGAGCCGAGTAGCCGCTGTCCAGAGTCTTTGCTTTACTCACAGGAGCTGTTGGTATGTGCCTGTTTTGAAAGGCACACGCCGTTGCCTAACCGAGCGGCATGTGCCACTCGTTACCAGTTATCGGTGGCAGGTGCCATTCGCTGAGTGGCACATGCCAGTACGTGCCATTTCCGGACGGCGGAGTTGCCACTTCCTGCTGCCAGATGCCACTTCGGGACTGAACCCCTGCAGGAAAAAACAAGCTAAAATCACACAGTGTATGTGGTAATTTGCTAACGCAGAATGTTTAAAGTGACTGGCGACTTTGTGTCTGCCCTCCACAGAGTCAGTAACGCTTCTCTGTGTGAGAAGAGCCTCCTTCTACTGCAACCTAATCACAGCCAGTGCGCTATTATTTAAATATTTCAGAGTTCATTTACTGTTTCCAGAACTGTTTTCACATTTACAGATGTGAAAACAGTCTGATTCTGTTTCTACACATCAGGGCCTGTCTCTACTCTAATCCGTCTGTAAGATGCCACCTTCCTTTACGAGACTGTCCAGCTAATTAGCATTAATTAGAGTGATCTCATTAGCACTGAATCAGGCTGAGCGCACGCAATGTTCACACTAACACTATATACACTTTTAAAGCTGATGGAAGCTGCACAGATAGTCACCTAATACAGATCACAAGCAATAAACTTTACTAAGTCCAGTTTAACAGGACTGGACTCAAAATATTCACGTTTGATCACAATATCAAAGACATAGAATAATACACACTTCCATACTGTGCCTATTTATGCATAAAAGTTTGTACACAGCAGTGTTTCTTCTTAAATCAAGGCGAGTTTGTCCCCCTTTGGCTGCAGAAACAGGCTCAACTCTTCTGGAAATGCTTTACACTAGATGTTGGAACACTGCTATGAAGATTTGATTGCAGTCAGCCACAAGAGTATTGGTGAAGTCAGGTACTGATGTTGGTTGATTAGTTTTGCAGTTCCACTGCTCCACAGTCTAATGCTGAGGCACTTTAAACCCCACTAGCCCATGCAATGAAAAGCTTTCCCACTGATTTTCCATTCTGATATTCCAACTAATATCAGCCCTGAGATCAACATTCTCCACCCCCTCTCTTATTAACAACTCCTTAATAAACACAAAAATAGTATTTTTCCACTGTGTACATCTTCAAACAGTGTGTTATGACGTAAAAGTATAACGTCTTTCTGTTTATTCAGCACATTTTCAGTAAGAGTCCATGTTACAGCAGTGAGGAGCTGCAGGTTTTTAGTATAATCTGAAGGCTGTGTGACCAGAGAGGCTATAAATAGAGGTACTTAAAGGCTCTAAAGTCTCAGCAGAAGACCACTCACTAATTCTAACAGTTACACTTAGTCCCACGCCTGGCTTTACTACCACCAGGAACCACATTCATCCATCTCTCCATCTTTCTATCTGTCTGTCTAACTGACGAGTCAACATTTTCAATTGTTTATGGGAAAAATGTGTTCTCCAGGCCAAAGAAGTAAAAGACCACCCGGAATGTTACCAGCATAAAGTTTAAAAGCCAAGGTTTGTCATTGTACCGAGGTGTATTAGTGGGTAACTTGCACATTTGTGAAAACAGCATTAATGCTGCTTGATATGTACACATTTTAGAGCAACGCATGCTGCCTTTTAAATGTCTTTTTTTAGGGACAGCCATGCTTATTTCAACGTGACAACTGCAAGAAATCCTCTGCACTTGTTACAACAGTATGGCTGTGTAATCAGAGAGTGCGGGTGCTAGACTGACCTGCCTGTCTCTTATCGAAAACATGTGGCCCATTGGGAAGTGTAAAATACAACAATAAAGGTCCAACATAGTTGTGCAGCTGAGGACTTGTATAACTGAAGAATTGCAAAACTGGATCAACTGGTGTCTTCAGTCCCCAAATGTTTATGAAGTGTTGTTAAAAGGAAAGGTGAAATGTGACCTAGTGGTAAACATGCTCCTAACGTTTTTGACACGTGTTACAGGCGTATTTACAACAAACAAAAAACAACAATAAAGCTCAACATGTTAAACATGGAATATTGTGTTTTTTCAATTTAATAGAGGTCAAACAGAATTTGCTAATCACTGTTTTATGTTTTTATTAGCATTTCACACACTGGCCAAACTTATTATTACCCTAAAAGCTAAAAAAAAAAAAAAACAGCAGGACAATTTTTAAAAGTTTTACTGCTCTTTTGACCTCATTATACCACTGAAGGAGATTTGACCTTGATAAAACGCAGGATGTATTCACTGAATTTATTGCAGCAGTAGATATGAACTCACAGCTAGTGTGTTTCATACAGAGTGATTACAGCAAATTAAAGTTAAAATGAAAACTAAAAGTAACTAATGTAAGCGAAGTATGTAAACGTAAAAACATCCTCAAAACTGACACTAAGCCGAATTCACATGAAAACTGAAAATAATATAGGAAGTAAATATGACACTGAAAGGCCCACGGCACTGTAACCGTGCTGTAAAGCTAAATGCCGGAGGTTTTTCATGTCAGTCAGTTATGTTTATGACTGTTTGCTTTTGCCTCTCTCTGCAGTGCACTGGTAGTTTTATTGCTGAAGCTCTGCAGAAGGCTGTATATTCCAGCACTCGGCTCTGATTGATCACTGCTCTATCATCCTGCTGTAAAGTTGATATCACTGTAGGCTTTATAGGCCGTGTGGGTGGAACAGAGTTTAAAACCTTCGGTCAAGGTCTAAAAGCATGATGGGGAATCTCACACTGCTCTCTGACACGCCACATCATCCAGAGTCAGAACAGAGAAGAGCAAGAGTCTAAAGAGTGATCTGAGTAATATCATTATAACTCATATAATGTAAATTAAACATATTACAGATGATAATTACTCTTATTATTATTATTATTATTAATACATTATTATTGTTGTTGTTTTCATGATTTAACTCCTTTCATATCTCTTATTTTTATATTATTTTATCACACTAAATGCAAATTATAGAATGCATACCTTTGAATAAAAGACATTATAATCATGCTGTTCTTTTTCTATTTCTTTTTCTTGTTTACTTAATTCCTTTTATGTCTTTTATTTTATATTTATTTTACCACACTACATGAAAGAGTTACCAGCAAAGGTTTGTGCACCCCTGCTGAAATTCCATGTTTTGTTTATGTTCTAAATGTAAATAAGTTACACCTCCTCTACAGAGAAGCACGCTTCTGCATGTTTAATGCACAACCACTGTTCAGATACTAAATTTAACATATTGAACAAAAAATAAGACATAAAATGCAGCCTGTACAAGATGTATGGCGCATTTTCTATTTAATATTTTTTTCAGTTTGTTAAACTGCAAATAAATAGAAATTGTGCATTATGGTTAGCAGAAAATTATATATTTAAGGGTGCTCTCTGCAGAGAATGTGTAACTTATATTCACTTAAAAAATCAACAAAACATGGAATTTGACCAGGGGTGTTTTGCATACAACTGTGTATAATAAAAGTCCCTAACAAAGTATGTCTCAATTTAACATATAACATATTTTACTTCTTTTATACCTTTTTTATTATTTTTACCATATTCTTGCCTTTATTCATGTCTAGTCTTACATTTCTGTTAAAATCTGTAAAGTCCTAAGAGAAGCTCTTTCAAAGCTGCACTGTTTGTACGGAAGCTGCAAATAAAGCATATTATTACTACTAGTAGTAGTACTTATATTAATAGTTTTATCTGACAGTACAAACTGAGGAAAAATGTACAGTATATGAAACACATTCAACTCACAAAATCACATTCACACAAAACTATCATTGCTAGCACTTCTACAAAACATACAAAAAGCCCTAAAAGTAATGACTGACCAAGCCAACACTGTGGACAATAAGGGTCTAAGTCAGAGGTGCCCAAACCTTTTGTCTTGGGGAGGCCAAAGGACAAAAACCTATTAAAAAAAAGTTATATACAGCATAAAATATATTGTGTGAGGGGGTGAGGCTGGGGAAATTTCTGGGCCAAATTGAATGTCATCACGAGGCACACTTTGGGCAGGGCTGATCTAAATAAACGGCATGCAGAATTATTATACTGGGGCAAAACAGTGAATCTAGAATGTGTTAAGGAGCACGGTTTCATCACTCTCAGAGTGCAGAACGGCATGTGCTTGTCATTTTTGGGGGTTTTGTGCACATGATTATTCATCTCCAAATGTGTCAGAGTAATCAGTTTTGACAGAAGCCTAATACAACTGACCACAAAAGACTGACTGTTTCCTAACTACTGGCTCAAGATGTTCCATGTGACCTTTGCACCAAATACTGATCAGCTCTCATTTTCCACTGAGCTGCTGGTTGTGTTTTTATGTTCGCAGTGCGGGATGCTGTAAACTCATCTGTGCTTTAGGGCTCGTTTTATACTAAACTGCAGTGCCAGTGATGAATCAGCACTGAAAACTCTTCGGCTTAAAGGGGAATTCCATCGATTTTCCGCATAATTAAACGGCTAAGCATGAAATGCTTTGTTTGGTGTGAAATGCTTTGTTCTAGAGAAACTGTTCACAGTGGTGGTGGAAGAACCAGACCTCTAAAAGCCCCCTCACAGAAAGTTATTACATGAAATGTTATGAATACACTGAATACACTGTCTGATGTCTGGGACAAGTTTTGTGAAAACTTAATTTTCAAATCCGTTCTTGGTGGAGGGGGACCTGTAGGACGTTGTGAGGCAAAATAGTCCCCAAAGAAAACTGATTTTTCAGATTTTTCATTAATTGAACATTACCAACATTACATTACGTAGAGGACTCATCTAGGTTTGCTGGTGGTTTTGTATAGCAAATAAAGTGGCTATATATGTGTTGTAGATATTGTGACCCCTGGTTCCTATCACCACCAGTGAAAAGAAATCAAAGTCTCCACAATGAAACTTTTCACACCAAACCATTCTGAATGACTTTGTTTACCACTGAATTATGTGGAAAATGAGAAAAAATGGTGGAATTCCCATTTAAAATCTAAGGCTGGGAAACTTGTCCTTATTACAACAGGGTGACTTAGCAAGATAAGCAGTAAACTCTGAACTGCAGCACTAAAAACTTTAGACCAAACATGTCTCTGCTTATCGACTGCATTTGGGGTGAGATAGGATAAACTGGATATGTTTCATTTTACTGTTTGTGGGAATAGTTGATAGTTTCTTTTGGTTTGTACTACTTTTTTCTTGTTGTTCTGTAAAACCTCACACCCACATTTACCATTCTACCTCTTTTCTTTCACTTTCCTTTGTGAAATTACTGGGCTTCATTGGTGGGTTTTGATTTTGATGCTCTGTAAAGCTACCTTGAGTTATGCAAAGGCACTGTATAAATAAAATATATTATTGCTATTATTTTTATTATTTAATTCAGACACACTGGGCTGCTAACTGAAACTGTGAACAATAAGAACTTACTAAAATGATTTTAGTATGTAGCTACAGAATGAGCCACGGAATCCAACTTCCTTGGATTCCTACTTGGATCCTCTCCTACTGATGATCCTCTTGAACAGATTTTAAAAATCTTGTGTCTCATGTTCCTTATAGAAAGAGTGAAATATCTTTTATATTTATAATATTTTTATTGTTGTTCTGCTGATCAGTCTGTTTGAGGACATTGCATGAGCAAAGAAACAAACAGCGTTTTTAATCAACATTTTCATTACCATTAAACTTATTAGTCTTAGTAAAGAATTAGACTTTGACGCTTTGAGGCCTATTTAATCTTTGCTTTTTCAGCCAAAATTTTGGCCTTTTTTTCCTCTTTCGGCTGAAACTGAAAGTAGCATTTCTGACAATTAGGTGATTATTATTATTATTATTATTGTTGTTGTTGTTGTTGTTGTTGTTTAGTATGACAATAATATCATAATTTAACCCTTAAAAACACACTCTGCATTTGAATGTGTAAATCTTGCATACTGCAGTACTGGCTGACGTTGTTTAGCTGTTTGTACCAGGCGGCAGTGGCACCACCAGGATCAAGTCTGCTGTAACACTGCTGTCTTTGTATCTCAGAGAAACAGACAGAGAAGAGAGAACAGTCTAACTTTAGCACTGCCAGTTAGCACCAGAGTGAGTGAGGGTTTGTTTATTTGTGTTTGTTTGTAGTGATCAGATGCTTTTTCATGCTGTGTGAGAACCTGATCATTTATTATTACGCAGCTGATATGTCACTGGGTCGTCACCGTGTGTCAGAGTTACCTATTGCATGTATTCCTCCACAAGTATTTTCCTTAGAATCCCAGAATGAGCAGCATTTTGATTTTGGGTCAATTTGTGTGAAATAACTAAGGGCCACCTGACTGACCACCTCAGACTTCCTTAATACTTCTGTGAAATAATGTCAGGATGTCCAATTTGTTTTCATATTATCCATACAGTCATTCTGACAGACTGCAATACACTACATGATGTGTAGGGGGCGGTATGGCTTCTACCGTTTCATTTAGAAAGCGCTCTACAAAGCTCTACAACAATGCTTTGAATGATGGCGGTGGCAAACTGAGAGGAATCAGAGAAGGCAAAAAAATCAATATAGAAAACTGCAGCCCTACCTACTTCATCAATGCAATCAAAAGGCTGGTTTACCTGTAAAAAGCAGGTTCCGTTGGCCAGATGCTCCTGAATGGTGGTGTTGTAGAGCTGCTGAGTGAATACAGGTTTGTTGTCATTGACGTCCTCCACATGGATGTTCACAGTGGTGGTGGAGGTTAACGGAGGAAACCCTCCATCCACAGCCACCACCAGAAAGGCCAGGTTAACATCCCTCTCCCTGTCCAAGCCTGCGGCCGTGCTAATAAGGCCAGTCTGAGGGTCAATGTTCACCAAGTAGTCCTGATTTGACCGCAGGATTGAGTAGAATATACCAGAATCCTCATCCTGGTCATGGGCCTTCACCTGCAGGACTGAGCTTCCAACAGGTAAATCCTCCGACACGCTCACTTCATAGACTTTCCGCTCAAAGCTTGGAGGGTTGTCGTTCACATCTGTGACTCGTAAGAGGAACGTTCTCTCGCTTCTCAAAGGAGGAGAGCCAAAGTCAGAAGCAACCACAGTCAACTCGTAAATATCCTTCTGCTCCCGGTCCAGCGGGCCGTCCACACAGAGCGCGTAGAGAAACTCGTCAGTGGCCTTCAGTGTGAACTTGCCTTCTCCACCTTCGAGGAACACGCTGACCTGTTTGTGGAAGGAATGTGTATTTGAAATTTAATATTCCTTGAAAGGCAGTCGATCTAAAGTCTTTAAGATCAATAAGCAAACATCTGAAACCTCTGCTAACGTTACTAGCCTAGTCACATCGTAACTTACTTCACCTGGTATGTTTTAGCTGAAAACAGTGAGTTTGTGAAGAGTTAGTCAGCTGATGCTAATTCACCAAATTCACCAAATAATGTTTAAAGTTTTATTTCATTAAGTCTACATGAGTAGAGAGTAGAATGAGCTTTATTGGCATTTTTCGGTGATGCTTCCTATGCTGCACTTTGTATCTGATACCCAACACTGACACAATGAGGCTCAAAGCTTTCTGTTCAGGGTGCTGTAGCCTTTAGACGGCTGCAGTAGTCTTTCCATGTAAACAGATTACAACCAGAGAATTTGTAGTGAGGGGAACTTACCCTTTCATAATGTCTTCAGGATTTGTCAGACACTAGAGGGTGCTCTCCGAGAGAGTGCAAAATAAATGGGTTCCTAAGCAGCTTTTGCTCAAAATCATAGTGTGTAAATGTTTAATCATTTTCATACAGAAAAATTTAATTGCTTTCTCAACATGGAACAGCATCAAATATTTCAACACTGCTATAATATTTTTGAGAGTGTTTCAATACCAGTTATAAGACTTTCTAACTGTGACTTATGGAAGTTCATGATGTCAGTGGGCACCACTGCTTCTGCTTCTGCAACTGCTTCTCTCAGCCAATGAGCTGATCAGCTCATCATCCAATGAGCACTCATTAGTGTATACAGTTATCATCCAATACCTGGTTTGGCTAATCAATACTGGATTCAAACTTTGTTCACAAGATATCAATTCCTTTTTTCAAAAGGAAATTGTTACTTCTCGTTAGTTTTTAATCATATTTATGTTATTGTAATTTGCATCTATTCTAACAATATGGGCAATAATATAGGCAAAGACACACTTAATGCTATAAACAAGTAATAAAGATAGACTAACCCTATGGACAACTACTAACCCTAAACCTATGGACAAAACTATAGGGACACATCTCTTAATCACTGAATTTAGGTATTTAATTCAGTCCCATTGCCACAGGTGTATAAAATCAAGCATGTAGCCATGCAGTCTGCCTTTACAAACTTTTGGGAAAGAATGGGTCGTTCTAAAGAGCTCGATGAATTTGAGTGTGGTACTGTAATAGGATGCCACCACTGCAAGAAGTCAGTTCACAAAATTTCTTTCCTCCTAGATATTCCACAATCAACCCCATCAAATACCTCTGGGATGAACTAGAATGGTGATTGTGAGCCAGGCCCTCTCAACCAAAAGCAGTGTCTGACCTAACAAATGCTCTTCTGGATGAATGGGCAAAAATTCCCACAGACACACTCCAAAATCTTGTAGAAAGGAAAAAAATCTTCTTAACTTTTAATCAATGCAAAAATTTTGCACTGATCAAAAAGCATGCAAAAAAGTAGCAAAAGTGGAGTTCTGTTGATAAGGTCACCTTATATCTGATTTTTTTGATAAGGTCACCTTTTGCTCCACTTTTAATGTTTTTTTATTAGTGTTTATAGTTATAACAGTTCTTGATCTCATTTTTTAAAATATGGTAATATTTCTTTTTTTTTAACTTACCAAAGCTTATAAAGGACTAAATATTGTGACACATATTGTATATTATAATGTTTTATTTTTGCTGTATCACCCACCTTTTTGACCTCTCCCAGGTCTGGGTCAGACACGGCAATCCTGGCCACATATTCTCCATATCCAGCCCCTTCAGACACCTCTGGATCTCCTGTTTCAGTCAGAAACAGGACGTTAATGTTTGGGCTGTTGTCGTTGACATCAAGAACCCTGATGCCCACAAACGTGCTGCTGGACTCAGGCTGGACCCCATGGTCCCTTGCAGTCACTATAAGCTCAAAAAACGTCTGGCTTTCGTAGTCCAGAGGCTTGTTGAGGCGAATGACTCCTGTGTTCTTGTCAACGATGAAAAACTCGTTGGGGTCACTCTGGCGCCTGTTGATCTCGTAGGTGATCAGGCCGTTGTTGCCTAAATCTGGGTCTACGGCGTGCACCTGGCACACAGGTGTCAAAAGTGGGGCGTTTTCCCACAACACAGCTTGATATTCGGTTTGATTGAACGCAGGCTGGTTGTCGTTTTCATCCAGAACGTTGACGTGCACCTGTAGGCGACCTGTTTTTGGCGGCACGCCTCCGTCAAAGGCCTCAACGGTCAAGCTGTAGAAATCTCTGCTTTCTCTATCCAGTTTTTCCATGAGAACCAAGTCAAAGTTGAGGACTGTACCACCTCCTCCTCCATTGCGGAGTTCCACTTTGAAAAGTTCTTCTGCTTCACCTTTCAAGAGTCTGTAACCTTGAGTTCCAAACTGACCCTCATCCAAGTCCAGAGCTCCAGGAAGCTCAAAGCCTGAGCCAGGCAGGCTCAGCTCAGACACATTCAAGTCGACGACATCTACAGGGAACGTAGGCCGATGGTCATTCACATCTTTCACCACCACCGTGACCTTGACGACCTCTCCGGTCAAAGTCGCTGCTGCAAATTCATACTTGTCCCTGCTCTCTCGGTCCAGCACGGTGGCCGTGGAGATGATCCCAGAGTCCGAGTCTATCTCCAAGTCCCTGAACACATCTGAGTCCCTGCTTTCGGATATGAAGAAGCCGCTGACCCCTACACTGGATGGCAGGGCGGCTCTAAGGTCGCCCACCACCGTGGAGGCCGGCAGACCCTCCTGGACAGAAAGCCTAAGGTGGTGCACCTGGGCGGACAGGCCATTCCACACCAAACAGAATACAGTGAACACGCACTGCAGTGAGGTCCACAGGTGAGGCTTCATCTTCACCTGGACAGGTTCCACTGCACAGGCGCTTGGCATGAGCTTTGAGTCATGTTCCTCAGGCTGAGCGCCGTCCAGCTGAGTGGAAACACGCTCCACTCCACATAACAGTTAGTGAGCAGCTCCTCAACTCCAGCTTCAGACTGAGGCTCGCTCACCGGAGCGCCAGCGCGCGTGTGGCTAAGGGGCGGGGCTCGTTCAGTCACGTGACGCACGAGGATGAACCACAAGCGTAACGGACGCGTGAACGGAAAGGAGGTGGGGGCGGGGAGAGAGAGAGAGAGAGACGAGTGTGTAAGAGAGAGAGAGAGAGGGAGAGGGAGAGAGAGGAGTGTGTAAGAGAGAGAGAGAGGGAGAGGGAGAGAGAGGAGTGTGTAAGAGAGAGAGAGGGAGAGGGAAAGAGACGAGTGTGTGTTTGGGGAGAAAGAGGGGGAGAGAAGCAACAAAAGAAAGGGAGCAAAAGAAAGAAAGATGTAAAAAATTGAAACAGTGAGAAGGAGCGAAAGAAAAGGAAAAGAGGGAGAGAGCAAAAAGTTAAAAGCTGAAAAACACTGAAAATGAAATTTAAGAGAGAGAGAGAGAGAGACAATGAGACGAAGGAGCAAAAGATGAGAAACAAAAGAAAGATGTGTGTGTGTGGAACAGGTGTATGAGAGAGAGAGAGAGAGAGAGAGAGAGAGAGAGAGAGAGAGAGAGAGAAATTAAAAAAAGACGGAAGGAAATAGAGAGAAAAAGAGAAATAAATGAGAGATCAAATAAAAAGACAAAGAGCGGGCAAAGTGCAAAGGAAAAGAGAATGGAGGTGAGAAAGAGAGCAAAAAGAGAGTGAGAAAAGAACGTAAAACAAGCAAAACTGAAAAAGAAAAAAAAGAAAAAGAGAGGGAGCAAAGGAAAGAAAGAGAGAAAATAAGAAAAAGAGAGGAAGGGAGAGCGAACAAAAGAAAGAGTGGAGGAGATAAAGACAGTCTGAGAGAGACAGAAAGGCTTTAAAACCATTTTATTTAACTGTTCTTAATCTAATGTGTCTGCCTGCCCTGTGATGGAGTGGCGGCCTGTCCAGGGTGTTTCCTGCCTTCTGCCCAGTGACCGCTGGGATAGGCTACAACTCCCCCCCGCGACCCAGAAGGATAAGCGGCTCAGATAATGTATGAGTGTGTATGGTTGTGTGTGTGTTCTTAGCCTGTTAATAGATCTGGTTTTCTTTTCAAAATCAGCCACGTTAAGGTAAAAACCCAACAGCACCATCTGCTGGACAAAATCCTGACCTGCTGCACCTGATCAGTGTGTTTTCCAGTGATCTGGATGTCAGATGTTGTTATATGTGGTACTAGAGGTGGAGATGCTGGCAGAGGAACGTTGATGATTGATTTTTTTTTTTTTTATATATATATATAAACTATTATAGTAGTTAATTGGAAATGGATTGTTTATTGGTTTACTTCTTTACTGTGTTTATTCAATGTTTGTTTTTTGAACAAATAAATGTTTAATAACTAGATAAATAACAAAATATCATTTTATCAGACATTTTGTACAGCTTCCATTCTTTCAGCTTCTCTTTGCTTTCAGTTTTTCACAGAAATCTACAGGAGTATTTCTTCACACCTCCAAAGTTCAGTCTTAGAAGTTGGTTTTACATTTTCTGCATCTCACCATTCAAGTAATTCCAAACACATTCAGTGATGTTGAGGTCTGGACTCTGGGGTGGTCAGTCCATTGTTCTGTGAACAGCAGCAGCTTCTGTGTTAGATTTGTCTGTTTCCTTTTCTCAGTAAGGGCTTCTTGTCAGCTACACATCCTTTCAGACTAATAGAGTTGAGTCGTCTTCTCAGTGGGAGGATGAGCAGAAACACCTGTGGATGTTCTTAGATCTGTAGCAAAAGTGGAGCTCACTTTAAGTGCTGTTTATCTGATGGGGACAGTTGTGGTGGTCTTGCAGAGGGGTTGTTAAAGAGTCCCATTTTCACTGTAACGTTTGATTAGTTTTTAAACTCCAGTTTAAACAGTTCTGTGGATTATGTTATATCTAATCTCCTCTCAAACATGAAAAATAACTTTTACTTAATGGCTTTATGTTGTATTCCATTGTATTTTGTTTGTATCTCACCTTAACTGTTATTACTATCATAAATTAAGTTCTATGGGCTGAATCACTACATCACAACAGCAGACAGTGGTTTTTGGGTCTTTATTTTACAAAATGCTGCGTTCATGATAAATGCCATGAGTAGCAAAGTCAATTCTCCAAACAACAGTTCATCTAATTGGCGCTGGGCAGGTTTTAATGGCTCCCTTTGAAAAGAAGAAAAGGTGATGAACATGAACCCAAGAAAAGTTAATATTTCAACAGCTTTGCTAGGCCTGATACACAGGAACCAGAAAACATTTACAAACCATGAAAAAAAGCATGTTTTGTGTAATTTAGCCTAAAAGCCAGAACAGACACTAAATGGTGGAGAAACACCTGCTTAGTCCACAGAAAACATTCAGAAAAACCTTCTGGAAGACACACCAGACACCGTCCGTGAATTCACAGATTACTTGCAAACGCTATTTTGAGTAAAATATTCTGGAAAGATGTTTCATTTCAAACACTACAACCAAGGTGCCATTTAGTCCCAAAAGTTCATGACGTTCATTAAAAGGGATTTTTTCCAAAATATGTGCATAATCAATAGCTGAGATGTAAAAAAAACAAACAAAAAAAACTGTGGTTTGGTATGAAATGTTCACAGTGGTGGTGATAGGAACCAGACATCCACCTCTAAAAGCTCCCTCACAGAACTTTATTGCATGAAATGGTTATGAATTCAATGCCTGATGTCAGACACTGTTTTACGATAGTTTGAGAAGGTTTTGATGTTTAAATCATGCTGGAGAGGTTTTAAAGTTATTGACCACTATTTACCATCATCATTACATATAAAAACTCAGAAGACACGTGTAGGTTCACTGGTGGTTTTGGACACTAAATAAAATGGCTGTATTTAAGTTGTAACTATTGTGACCACCGGTTGCTGTCACCACCACTGTAAAGACATCTGAGTCTCTACAATCAACCATTTCACATCAAACCACTCTGAATGACTTTGTTTACAACTCAACCCAAAGCAGACATTCTGAAAGAACAGTGGAATTCCCTTTTAAAATGTTTCTGCAATAATGCTAATGCATTTAGGAGAGAATACATGGCAGCAGGTGGGTCTTATCAACAGAAAACAGGAAACAACACAATAAAACACAAAGCTGAAGACTTTAAAATCGCTTTCTCTTGATAATCTCTGGCTTCCAGTTGATCGGGTGGGTTTCCTCAGTCTGAAACACAAAATGAATTCAACAAATTATTCAACAAATTATTCAACCGTTCCTTAATAATGGGTTAGAATACACTTCATGTAAATGTCTGTATCTGCACAGCATAAAGACATCTGCGTTTACCATTATTTATTTATTATCTACAGGGAGACAACACCTCTTTGTGTGACAGTGAAAACCGTGACTCACCGCTGTGTCGTCCTCCTTGTACACTTTGATGGTTTTGTCGGCCTCGGCGGTGATGAGGCGGCTCTCTGAGTGGTCAAACACACATGCGAAGATTCCGGACTCGCTGTCCAGAGAGCCAGGCTGGACCACTGCATGGATCCGCTGGAAATTATACCCCGTCCTCCAGTCCCACAGGTGGATTGTACCATTATCAGCTGAAGGGGGGGACAGAGGGATAGACAGCAATAGATTAAAAGAAAGATGATCATTTCAAGGGGAAACCAGAAAGGAAGAAAAGAATATAAAAGAACAGAAGAATAAGAAAAAGTGAGTCATCAAAATGTTATCCATATTAACAAATATTTAGCACTGTTGAAATATTTTGAGATATTATGCAAAATATGCCAATTCTCCTGCAGTCTACCATGGGGTGATAATAGCAAAACACTACCGTCACTGATGATATATTCGCAAACATAACTCCAAAGTTTTACACACATTTAGGGTTGGTAAAGCATAACAGGTAAATCCACTGCCCTACTACGCTACAGTAAGGGTCTTAAGCCAAAGGCATACATGTAAATGTAAATATATCACGACTGTAATGATTCACAAAACATGGCAAGATATGATACTGCAGTGTCTCAATTCAACACTGTTTTCCCATACAATGTGCTTTATAATACAATATGTTACGATACAACATGATATGATGCATGATGCTGTTACAGCCTTAAAATGTATGTATTTATCTATTTCTGCAATGTGGAATCTTCTGTTCTGTTCCAAACAAAGCAATAAAAAAGTGTGAAGGGTTGAAAAAGGCAGAAAATGCCGACCTCCAGAAACCAGAACTCCATCAGAGTTGACGGCGAGTGTGTTTATGATGGCGTTGTGTCCAGACAGATTCTGAATGAAGTTTCCATCTGGAAATTTCCACTGCTTGATGTTGTCTGGGGAGCCTGAAGCAAAAGTATATCTAAAACAGCAAGAAAGATTGTTCAGGGTCACTTCAAACACAAGCCAATAATAATGACTTACAGGGGGTTTAATCATTAATCACTTTACAATTAAAAAAGAAAATAAGTTTTGATCATTTTTGTATGGAGCTTACTGTCGTGGATGCAGAACGACAGCTCGGACAGATTTCTTGTGATTAGTCAGTGTGGCTCTTGTCTTTCCAGCTATCAGATCCCACAGTCGGATCGTGGTGTCATGGCTCCCTGCAGCACAACAACAATAAAGGGAAAAACAGTTATGTGGTGTGCTAAATTAATAAATAATAAGTAAACAACATACTGCAGTATGTCTGTGTTCTTTTGGGTATTGAAATTCAATACTTTTATGGTACAGCCTAAATATCAAAACATGTCTAAGTAGTCTGTCTCATCAATGTCGTGAGACAACGAGCATGTTTATTTCAGTCTAAACTGCATGCTGCCTTGATTTCCCAATTAGTCTTTAGCATTTCACTGTGGCAAGCTGTTATACTCACTTCCATTATGTCACACTCACTTCTGGTTTAAGCAACTCAAATTGAGATTGTTTTTATAAGAAAATGTTAAAATAAATAAATAAATAAATAAAGTTGCGAAAACTGTACAATACGCAGTCCTATAGATGAATCCTTAAACCGTCTGTAAATAA